TTTTTTATCATAGATTAACTGAATAGTTGAGGTTGGAAGGCTATTCTAACTCCTTGCTGAAAACAGGATCACTCAGCATCATGTCCAGCTGTGTTTTGAACAACTCCAAGGATGGAGATTTCACAGCCTGTGTGTAATTACTCTCAGTGTTTGGTCATCCTCACAGTAAAAATAATAATGATAATCTGATTAAATCTTTTCAATTGAATTTTCTCTATTTTAGTTACTGCCCTTTTATTCCTGTCCTATCGCTAGGCACCATTAAGAAAACCAGACTCCTCTTTCCTCTGTGCTCCTCCATTATGTATTTATATACATTGATTAAAAAAAAAAACCCTTATACTTTCAGATCTCCCTTTCCCTGTGGCAATAATATGGACTAATTATGTAAAAGGTGGAAAACTAAATATCTAGTTCCCCACATCAAAATACTCGCACATGTGTATGTTTAAGTTCTACAGGTATGATCAGGCCGAAGAAAAGGCATTTAGTGAGATTTAGGCCTCTTGAAATTAAGCACCTGCCATTACGTGAACTTTCTGGGTTTCCTCCTGCCTCTGAGATATCTAATTTCTAACTGTGTAGTCCTCCCAAGTTTTTTCTCACACAGTATTTCACAGAGCACTGTGAAAGTATTAGTTACAAGTCAACTGTACTAGTAAATCTGTATGGTAAAGGAAATTTTTGACAGTTGTGCCAAAAGATCTGACCCAAGCAATTAGTCCCTCAGCTACATTGGTAAAAATAACTCCCAGCAAGATTCATGACAGTTCAAGACATTTCAGATAAGTGGATATAATAAATCAGAGTACGTAAATCACAGGAATTAGACCCAGAGGAAGGAAAACTGTCAAGTCATATTTTATATCCCTTTGCTAATATAGAATTACATTTTCTATGTAGTTAAGTATCTTTCAGTGATCATAAGTTCTTTTCCAAGGGATATTAGTAGATTTGCTAACACTATTATAGATAATTGGAAAGATAAGATTGTTTTACACTGATTTCCTTTTTTGCCACTTCTTAAATCTGTAAACAGCTCATACACACAAAATATACAAGTTCTTAATGTTCATTTATTAGATAATCAAATATGCAAGTCAAAGGTAAGGTTGCTTTCTATTTCATTAAGAAGAGATGTACAAGATGACTAGGTACAAATGTGGGGAAAAGAGTGGCCTATCCATTGATTTAAAAAGAAAACACACCACAATCCGTCTTAAGTACACAGATTGTTCTATTTTTTCGCATGGACAGGGTTGCCAGTCTCGGGTTGGAACTAGATGATATTTAAGGTCCCTTTCAACATAAGCCATTCTATGATTCTATAGAAATAAGACACAATATTAATTTATTATGTTAGATTATATATCATATTGACAATTCATTTTGGTGTGTTACCTGCAAGTTGTATCCTAAGCAAATTCTGGCTTTCATACACATTGGATTCAGGTGAATTGCTTTCAAGAAATCTTTCTGTGCTTGTTCAAGATCAGCCTCATGTCCTTTTTTCATATATGAATTTCCTCGTCCAATATAGGCTTCCACAGAAATGGGTTCTAGTCTGAGAACCCGATTAAATGACCTCACAGCATCTTCAAACTCATTAAGTCTAAAAAAAGATTAATATTAACTCTGTTTAATGCTTAGAAAATTCATAAACAAGACTGCCATCATGCCTTCAAAAAGTAGTTCAGCTCTGACTGAAGAGAATATTCTATTTCTTAACTTTGCTTTCTATATGTGCACCTTCATGGTTATTATAAACAGAAGATAGTAAACAGTTTAGATGGTAATCAGTTTAAATTCCCTGACGTGAAGAAGAAAGCAGCAAAACTCATTAAACTTTTGCTGGGCAAAGATTTCACTTTTCACTGTTTGTACTGAGCAGAGTCTAATACAGACTTCATCTGAGTCATTCATACTATCCAAATCTCATGACCAAACATACTTCTGGCATTCTGCTCAGGCAGAGCTTTTTCAGTCATAAATCATCTACATCTGATATAAGATTATCTGGCTTTCCTCATATCGATTCTTAAAACTATCCAAACTATGTTAAAATGGCAGGGCAAAAAAGAGCCAATACTCAGGCTATTGACAACAGCCAATTCTAATTTTAGGAGTAGGCCAAATGTGGAATTCCATTGTTAAATAACATTTGATATATCTGGGGAGTATTCCAAGTAGAAACAGAATTCCAGAAATGCCTGACATGTCAACGAGTGCTAGTAGATGTCTTTACATAAAAAGCAAAAATTTCAACGTGTCAAAATAACCATTTCACTGAGACAAAACTGAAAGATGCTCTTTGATTATAAGCTACCTGTTTTGAATCTACCTGAAGAACAGCCTGAAAAAAAAGGTAAGATTAGACAAAGATAACAAACAAAGAAACATAGGGATATAGACCAAATGTTGTGGATTTTCTTTCAAGTAGAACAACTGGTGCAAAAACAAACTTTTGCTTCATCTCAACCCTGTTTGATAGGATCACAAATGCATCTTAAACGTTTATAATAGACAACTTGCCAGTGAATCTTTTTGGTAGTTATATATAAACACAACAAAAAAAATTCATTTAGAAACAGGACTCAGCACTGTGTTAATTCAACATCATTCAGACACGGAAAGATGGAGCCAGCAGTGCTTTAACTACAAGCACAGTAACACAAGAAGTTTTAATGCTACATGTCCACTTCCAGACTATCTCAGAAGAAATAAGGTTATACAGTGATAGATGACAGAGTAACCTTAGGGGAAAAAAAATTGACTAATAGGCAGAGAATTGTGAAAATTTCCTTTTTACCCTAGGTGATATTTGTGTGAAATGGGAATGACAGACTCCATGTGTCACTATGATAAGCAGTCCTCTCTACCACTTTTCCTTCTCTCCATTCTCAGTGCCCTCAATATGAAAAAAGTACAAGCAAAAGCAAATTCTAGGAATTATTTCATTTTTCTACTCTGCACCAAAGTTATGTACCTTACCGATAATGGCAGGTTCCAATAGCTTGAAAGATCTGGCTGTCACCTGGACTAAGCAGCGCTGCTTCTTTCAAGTCCTGAAATGAACAGATTCAAAATGAAATTCACATTGTTTCACATCATCTACAACTGTGGTCTCAATTGAACAGTTCTACACCACCACAGGTAAAGGGAGATAACTTCTGATGTTGGTGCATATCAGAAGTACTGCATAACTATTTAACTGTCTTCTTGTTTTATGACTCGTGCTCTGATAGAATGAAGCATCATATCATGGTATTTCTCATAAAGCTGGAAGTAGTTACTTCCAGGGGGAGGGAAAAAAGCTTCCCAGAGGGATATTGTTTTTAATAGAAATGATAGCAATTCTTAAATACATATATATTGAAAGTATGTTTTGCTACATGCATTTTCAACAGAACTCTTTTAGTAAGAAAATTATTAAATTACTACTTTTTCAAGTTACAGTAAACCAAATTCATATTTGCATTTCTACTCACAATGTTCTAGTGAAGGACATTCTATAAATTACTATAAGTCATTGTTCCAGGGCTTTTAACTTTTCCTTTTTACTAAAACTCAGAGCATTGACAAAATGCTTGTGGTTTTCATAGACCATAGAATCACTAACACTGGAAAAGCCCTCTAAAATCTCATATTGTCATCCCCCTACCTCCCATGTAGCCCACTAAACCAGTTTCCTTAGTACTCACTGCTTAGTGAGTTCAACTGTACAATTGAACTATAATGTACTCAATTGTAAAAACTGTACAAGTGATTTAAAAATCAAATGCAATCATTTTGGTTATGATATAAGGAAGCACTTCAGGACTTTTTACAGGAAAGAAATCAGTAGGCCATAAGAGTGGTTTAGCTGATGTATCCACTGAATTACAAGTCAGAAAGCATTTTCTAGCAAATTTAAGAATGTGGAAGATTTTAGTACTATTAGAATTACAAAAGTGGCAAAATACTTCATATATATGGAAATATAAATATATATATGTCAGTCCTTTGTTAAAATAAAACCTTTCTTTCAGTAAACATGAAATGCTATCATAAAATTATATCACAAAAACTCTAAAAAATAAAAAATCACTATTGAGCAGCAATGTTCCAACCTACCAAGCCCTCTCAGTGAATTCCCAACAAAGCTAACGTGATTCTCTTCGTGTGTATAGTTTGAACTTTACACTCTGCTGCATTCATGGAGCACAGCAAATGCAGGATCATTCCAAGGACTAGGTTTGGCTTACTTAAACCAGAAGTCCTACCCTCAAACATCACCACACACTCTTCATAGAATCATGTAGAAAAGACAGACACGTCTATGCATCAATTCAGATCTTTCATAAACTGAATTGCAACTTTTTGTCTTTCTTCCAGTGTACGTAATTCAGAAATACATTCACTTTGAGTAGAGGTAAAATAATTACATCTTATTTCAGCATTATTTCACTATACATGTATACAGGTATACCTGCAATGAAATAACAGAAGTGATACAGCTCTAACACATTTATAATCACTGATTCTTCTCTTAAATTAGCTAATGTAATTTTGTGCCTGTTTTTCAATTGCCTTTTTAAGATTCGTCTTTCCTATAATCAAATAACTTTTTGCTCATCCTGCTGGTTCTGATCCATTTCCCAATCTCCTTTTACTCTCAGCATCTTTCCTGAACTACATTGATCAATTTCATCCTGAAGCATGAGACCAATTATGCAATGTTTCTACTTATTTCTAAATAAGGTCCAAGGTCCACCAACTGTAAAGAGCTTTTGGCAGACACTTCCAGATATTTTTGGCTTAATTGAAAGGGATTCATATTCTTTCCTTAATATCTGTTTGGAAATAAGAAATGTTACTCATTACTCAATTTTTAGAATGCTTATGTTGACATCATTGCTATCATGTGACAAAGATAATGAAGTTTAAAGCTAACGGTCCACAACAGAGTCAATGAATGCACCAACTACTGCTGAAAAAAATAAATATACATATATTACTTCACATGCATAAAAAAAAGTTTTAGAAAACTTGCAAACTATCTAGAATTCAAAAATAAAAGCCTCTCGTTTTTGAAAGAGTAATTTTTAATACTTAGGTTTTAAGCCTGCTACTACAATACCAGGTGGAGTCCCACTGAATGAGTCATCTGCGCTGTGTCAGATATTTCTTTCTTACATGAGATCTGACCCTCCCTGTCTTTCAATAAAAGTCATTTACACCCAAACATAGAGGAAGAGAAAACAAGCTCACACAGTCAGATCCCTCCATTTACTTAGGATTCTGCAATGAATCAGTACTCATTTAGACCCAAAATAAATGACAAAGTTGCACTTTGTTTTTTTTTTTTTTTGGTGGTGGTTTGGTTTTTTGTTTTTGTTTTTTTACAAAAAGGACAAGTCAGTTCTCATTACATTAATTTTGTACAACTTTTATGCTCAACTCCAGGCTGTATAAAATTGTAAAATGGCTAGAACTGCCTTTTATTTGTAAATTCACTTCCCAGTTTGGTATTAGATGCTATGCAAATTTAAAAAAGGGAACCTTAACTATTTTAGAAATACTAAACCTGGCAAATTAATCTTTATGTAACCAAGGGCTCATAATTAAGAGAAACTCTAGATTTGGTCTACACAAAGGAGGATTCATTTATTTATTTATTTTACCTCACAGGCATTAGCATAATCACCAAGTTCCATGTAGAGTAGCCCACGATTGATGAACACTTTTAAAACTATTTCCTTACTCTCCTCATATAGAAGAAAAATTCCGTAATCTTTCAAGGCCTGTTAAAAAAAGGCATTTTACTCAACTATTTATTCAGAGAGATATATACATTGCCTTCCATAATTACATAGATATCCAAACCCAGAGTAGAAAATCAAAGACAATATAGATATATTAAACAGGCTTCATTAAAACTCATTTTGTTATTTCAATTTTTTTTTATTTTACCAACTGAAATTCATAATGGCTACTACTACTGAATTTTTTGTCCATATTCTTATTTTATTTTTAATATTATAAATGCAATATTCTTGATCTACTATTGAAATAAGGTACTTTTAAAACTATTTTCAAATAGTTTTATTTTTACTGAAAAGACTAAGCACTACTTGCATTAAGTGAATTTTTCTTTTAATTCTGTGAAGTAGTGTTATGACTAGGCATTAACAACAGAGTGATCATGTGATGTTGTAAAATTGTACCTTTCTGAAATTCTTTATTTGATGATAACAGATTGCTCTGTTATAATATGCCAAAATACAGGTATTGTCAAGGCCAATCGTTTTTGAGAGATCTTCAATTGCAGCTTTAAATGTCTGGAAATGAAAAAGCATCATGTACAAATTGTAATTCACAGCATCATATATTCCTCCTGAAATAGAATTTGATTTCATAGTTTTCCATTCTTGTTTCTTCATTAGTACTGGAAAGTATCATTTCATCAGAAATGAGTTTATGTAAAGGGAATGCTTCTTCAGAAGCTCTATATGGACAGTCAGGACATCCAAATATTTTTTACTGATTGCTTAGAAAATATTAATATGTTGCAACACATAATCAACCTTTAGTTTTTCTGGTTTATCTTTTGTTTCTAACACTAACCTAAAAAGTATATATTGTGCCTATTACTAAGTGAGAATCTATGCCGTAGAACTTAAGAGAATATGCAGATAGATGCCCAGTAGCTTGCTCAATTCATCATTAAAACTACACAGATCAGAGTGGCTTCAAGCAGGAAAGCAACATAATCATCAGGTTCCATATGCAACACTGGTTTCCAAAAGTTTTACCATTATTTTACCATTATAAAGTGATAAGTAATATATGAGGGCTGCTCCAAAAGTAATGCCTCCTATCTTTTTCCATGAATATTACAACAGTGTTATAGTGCTCTCCATAGCTATTTCATTAACAAAAATCTGATTTACAAAACACTTTTTTTTTCCCCCCAACATAAGCACCACCATTAGCTGTGCATTTTTGCCAGCATTGTACAAGAGCTTGAATGCCACACTCACAGCAGTCTGCCTGCCTGTCTGGACATGGGTATTCTTTCATATAAACATTGCCACTGCTGAAACATACCACTCACTGCCTCACTGTGCACACATCCTCTCTTTGGTCTCATCAACAAGAATTGATGATTGTCAACAAATGCAATTTTTTTCCACACGGAAGTATTCAATTCCACACCTTTTCTTCATACACACTTCCATGTCAGACATCACTGTGTCAGAGTTCCCCTCTGCTGCTACCTGTCACACAGCGACAACATGTAATGAATACTGGCAGAGGGTTCAACCTCTACTGCCATACCACTAACAGCTGCCTCTGATTTTGTGGCCCACCATAATAAAATAGGAAGGATTACTTTCAGCATGGCGCTCACACACTACGTTCTAAGGGAGAAAGCAGCAGTACAGCAACAAGAGATACCTACCTTATTTTGATACTTGAGTATTCCTCGGTAAAAATAAGCTTTTACACTGTTAGGATGAATTTTGATTGCCTCATTACAATTCATAATTGCCTTAGAATATCTGCCTTTACTTCCATAGTAAGCAGCACGACCCATATATGCCTACAGAGTTGAAGACAGAATAATGCTAAAAGAAAAAAAGCTACTTATTTAAGACAAGGGTTAAATAAAAGAAATAACAAAGCTTTATAAAAATATCCATCATTGTGCTTGCTGGCAGATTACAAGGCAACACATCCATAAATGCAGAACCAGTCATACTCTGAACCCATCCTAAACATGCCTCAAGGAAACAAACCATCAGGAGTTTTTATATTACCTGGAAATGTGATGGACAAAGTTCAAGTGTATGATTGAAGTCTTGGATGCACTTTGTTTGTCTGAGTTGCATTCGACACAGCCCTCGTTGATAAAAAGCATCAGGGTAACTTGAATGTAGTCTGATAGCCATACTAAAAGCATCACAGGCCTAAAAGAATTACATATCATCCGACTTAAACAGTTGGTTTGTACAGCCAAAACCATAGGCTGTACATAGCAATTAACTGATTCATTTTTACAGGGAGATTATATTCCAAATGCATAAATAATTTATATACATATCCACTTTTTTATTGTTTTTGTCCACTGCAACTTAAAATGCCCTAATAGTACAATCATAACCACAGGGAGGTACAATCTAACTCATTTTATGATCTTCAGTAAAACTTATAAAGCATATGGTCTTCTGTCTGTAAAAGCTGAAACTGTACAGTTATTTATGACAGTGGTTGACATGACACTCCTTCATAATTCACCCACGCATTTTTTTCTTCCACATTGCTCTGTACACAGTCATGGGCTTTTCCAGGATGTACAGCTATAGTATCAGATGTGCAATGGCATAGTTAACTTCATCAGTTGTCTGAATTATCTGGTGTGGTAACATATGACAATTTTGAAAGCCTTCTACCAAAAGAATATCACTTTGACTTACAACAATTCAGATCAGAGGCAGACATGAAAAGACACTGTGTCCTGTGAAAATTTGATGTTTCAAATGATCCTAGTTCAGTCTTGAGCCTTTAGTAAATTAGCTACTGACACATATTTACTAAAATATCAACATAGAAAACATTTTCAAGAACCCACCCTAAGCCTGCTGCAAAGCTCACAGATAGACTTTAATACCATTACTGCTTTTTTCAGGAAGACTTTAATATTTTTTTTTTCAATACCTCTAATGTGTGGCATTGATTTTATTGAAAAAGTTTATTATCACTATTTGTTTTGTTAAGTATCATATATAAGTTAAGTGCCAAACAGAACCATCTAGGGGGTGTTTTGAGCTACAGTAATACAAAAAAAACAGACAAAATACAAACTCCATAATTAATAGAATAATCTAGGATTTCCTTTGTCTAAGTTCAGTACCTACTGACAAAGCCACTAATTGCTACATGAGTATTTGTAAGATCTGTGAAAGTATTGATTAGCAGGTAAGAAATTAGTGTCACTTTTCAATGACATCAGAATATGATTTTCATACATTAAAAATCAGAACATTAACACTGAAAAATGATTCACAAGCTCACAAGACAATCTAATGTACATAATAAGTTAAAAAAATTGTTAAGGCAGTTAAGGCTGTTGAAAATACTGAAGTTACTCATTTAGTTATCACTTTTGTCTATAGGCACTGGAGCCAAAGGAGTCAAATATATATAACTAATACCAACCTCTAAGAGATTTTTTTGTTCCATATAACACAGGCCCATGAGATAATACATTTCTGCAGCCTCAAATGTAGGAGGCAGGATTTTTTCTGAGGTCATCAGGAGATTTATAGCTTGTTTAAAACTTCCCACAGCATCCTACAATACAGGGAATATTAAGAATTTTAAAGTAATCGAGTGAAATTTTGAAATGTTTTAGTCTTTGAAACATAAATGCAAAAATGAGAAGTACAGAGTTCCTTAATGCTGGAGCAGCATAGCCTGATGTCTGGTTATTTACTCATATTAGAAGAATTATCTAATTCCTGTCCAGCAGTGAGGCCCCCTCCCTCGGACTAATACTCTGAGGAATCAGGGTAGGACTCTAACATACATTTCTTAACTGTGACAGCTGAAATGAATTGGATCAGATGGTACGAACAATTGCCATCTTTCATCAGCATTCTATCAAAGACAGCAGAAATAATATTGCTCCATTATGATTTGAGACTAACAGAACACAAAAGCTTAAAAAAAGTTGAATGTGTCAAGATGTTTCAATTGATACAAGCATGGAGAACAGGACTGCAGTCTTTGCATAGAGTATACCTAACATTCATTTAAAAAAAAAATGCACAAACAAACCTAAAATGAAACAGGAGGACCATGCACGTCAAATAGAGAACTCAATAGATAGGTAGATTCAAGGCACTCTTGATCTACCTGTTGCTTGCCACTTTCATTTAAGGAAACAAGACTCTGTACGTTCTGCATAAATAAATAGGACTGTACAAAAAGAAATTGTATATCCATACTGCTGATTTCAACAATTCTGCAGGCCTCAAGCATTAGCTAACTACATGAGCCAGAGAAGTGACAGTATTAGTTAAATCCTATGACATATAAGTATTCAAAAAGTTGAAAAACACTTGCAATAATATATATTTACTTCATGTACATTAACAAAATATTTGTACAGTAATTAGAGAACACAAGATATTATAGTTATTTCACAAAAAAGAAAAATTGATACATACAGTTATAGACTAAGATCAGTTGTATCTTTTAACTTATTTATTTTAACAAAAATGTGTTAAAATTCAAATTGCCAAAATTATGCTGAACTGCAGTTTTGCTGTTGTTGAAAAGTTTTACACAGGTCTTCTTGAATTTTAAGCAATAAGGTGCACCAAAGATTTATTTATATATTAAGATATAAAATATTAAAAGAATAAAGAAAAAACATTGTCTTGCTTCACATAGATGTATAACGTAAATGTTTCTAACCTCTGTTTTCTCAGCTTTCATTTGTATTTTTCCTAAGAGAACAAACACTGAAGGCTCAGGTTGAGTTGTAGCAGCTTCATGTAAGCACTCTATGGCTTTACTGTGATTTTGACAAAATGACTGTATGAGTGCTTGCTGAACTGGCTGAAACGACACTGGAAGAAAACCACCACAGAAAATTATAATCTTTTACTTCAACATGTGTTTTCCAGTATAAAATCTCTTTAAATTATATGCAAATTTCAGAATGCTGTTAAAATATTTTGTTTCAAAAAGACCAAACAAAATTCCATATAAAAATCTCAAGCTGAACAACTATCAGTAAGTGTAGCTCAACGGCTAAACACCCCAAATGTGGGGGGAGGAGGGTTTGTAGAAGTCTGTGCTATGCTGAAGTATCACCACACGCTTGCATTGTTTCTATATTATTATACTCTGTGTGCCCACAGTTCATCCCTACTAGAGACAGATAGTTCATCTTGAGCAAAATAGGTATTCATATGGATGCATGAATAACTGTAAGGATGCACTGTACACTGCCACTTTATGCTCATCACATAAAAAGGAACTTCTATACTGCAACATTTTTACTGTTCAAATGTGTTGCAAAGGCTCAGACCTGGAGCTCTGTAGTATTTTATTAGGAAGGACTGTAAAGAAGCACAGTACAGAATCCTTATTCAATATTCCTTTTAAAGCAGAAGTTACTAAAATGGAATGGAAGAAAAAGCACCACAAAAAAAAAAACAAAAAAAACCCACCACTCAAATTCAAAACTCAAAAAAACCCAGAACTCAAAAGAAAGAAATTCTGAAATCACAAGTGGTGATCAGGAAATAATGTAGACTTAGCATCTTTAAAAGTTATCCTATATTTTAGCTGATTCATGGTAACTAACCTATTAGAGTACTTGAACATTTTTTTAATCAAGGAATTTTGAGTTTACGTTAAGAGATCACACAACAACACAGGCAAATTGACATTACCTTCATTCATTTTTGCAAGCTGGTGAATACATAAGCTTGCCAGCTCATATTTCTTCAATTCCATTAAATACTGTCCCCTGTAAGGAAATATTTGTTGGATGCAATTAGTAAAGTTCTTCCCAGGTATTTCTGTCAAAATGCAAATGCTTCTGCAATTTATTTTCTTTCATAGAAAAGGAGAAAAACAATGAAAAACAATGCATTCCAATAAAAACATTTGAATTTTTTCCTTTTTATGACCATCAGAAGTATATATTCAATTTTTTTTTTTCTCTAACATAAAAGCACCAAGAATCAATATGCTTACTTCTTTGCAGATTGTAGGAATTATAAAACTACATTTCCTTTGAGATTATATTAATAGGATGACATTATACAGATATAAAGTTCCTATGGTTTGAAAATGCCATTAAAGTACATTTTTTTAAACCTATTGAGAGCAAGGTTCAAAGCATACGAAGCATCTACCAAAATACTTCCAATGGGAAATGCTATTGAGAATAAGGTACATGTGAAGACTTCCACTAAACACTTTCCTACCTTAGTATCTGTAGCTCTGACTTATCTGGATAAAGATGAATGGCTCGATTTATATCTTTCACAGCATTTGATAAATTATGAATCTGTAATTTAAAACAAACAAAAAACCTACTATTTAACTGGTATTATGAACACAATTTGGAGACAATTATTTCTGTAAGTGTGGTCCTACAGGACATAGTACCCACATAATAACAACTCATGAGGGACACACATTCTAAAGTAAGGCCTCAACACTTTTAAATTAAAAGGTCTGCCACCTACAGATTTCCATACTCTCCCACAGGGCAGACTTGAACAGCAGACATTTTCTTTATTTTTCCAAAATCCAAATAAGATTCTGGACTACGGGGAAGAAGAGTAGGTCATGAGATCCCCATGCACATATGTCCTGATTAATTTTAAATGCAAATCATTACAGCAATGATTTGTCAAGATTGTGTCTGTGGTCCAATTCACTGTTTTTCAGAAGGGGAGGAGAAATGGCAGGAATCATTGCAGAGAAGATCCCAAGGACCGATCTATCCAGATGGCTAGGAGTCAGCTGGAACTGCCATCAAATAGTAGTGCTGGAATTCACATACTAACCTTACCTTAGCTACTCTACATATTTCAAAAAACTACAGAAGCAACCTGAGCATTAGTAGAAGACATTCCATGTCAACTATCAGACAAGTCAGTATCATATCTTTAAATTTTAATTTTTTAATAAGAGTCCATCCAAATGAATTGATGAGTTAAAAGTAGTTTTCTTCAGACAAATACAATGAACAGTGTTAAATAATCTCTCAAAATACTTAAATGAGAAATAATTCTTTCCATCTTTGCAATGACAGTCCACAGAAATTAAGTCACACTACATTCCTCAAGCTCCTGAGAAGTCCACAAAAAACAACTGCTAGCAGAAGCTATTCTCTCATCTACACAGATGTAAAATATATTCATGGGAAATTAAAACTTTAAAACAGCTCCCAGTTTCCTGAAAAACAAAAGTTTCAGGAATCCTATGTCTAGAAAAAAAAAAGTATTTCATTTTCTTTTTATTTATTTCAAATATATTTTATTAAAGCCCAGGCTAAATGAACACTGATATAGAAAAAAAAAAAATTGAATGAAATTTGGAATATTTTATGTTGTTGCATCACATGCCAGTTTTGTTTAATAGTATTTGAAATGTATGTAATTCTATTATGGTGATGAGGACTACTTGAAGTGTATAGCTAGAAACAGGTTATAACAATGTAACATCAAGGTGTAAGTATTAAAATACTTGCAACAACGCCAAATATAGAGCTTTATAAGTGACAATCAAAAACTAAAGGGGGGTATTACCTTGTGATATGCCTGTGCTCTACACAAGTAGGCTTGAACATTGAGAGGATCAATTTTTATAGCATTAGTAAACTGTTGAATAGCTTCATAGTATTGATCCAGATGCAACAGCAGTATCAAACCAATATTTAGGTAAGCAAAGATGATAGAGCTAAAAAAAAAAAAAAAAAGATTTTTCTCTTTTGTTATTTCATGAAATACATAACTGTATAAATTCTGCAACAGACTTAATTCGCTATTATGACATTTACAACATATTGTGATCACACTGAGCAAAATAATATTGATTTCCAGCTGAGGAGATAGCTGCTATGCATAGAATAGATTAGCACTAGACCTAGATGGTAATTCAAATATACTGAATACACCAAGAAACACTGAACTCTCCAACACAAAAGCATAAAAGTTCACTTATAAAAGACTCCAACAAAACATACATGTCTCCCATTTAGCCTGCTCCTTTACTTTTTTGGCTAGCAGTGTGAAAGATCAGAGATTCCAGGATTTACAATATCTTGTGCAGCCATCTCTTGGAGAAACTTCCTAGGCATGTTCTAGATTCCCAACAAAAGAGCCAAAAAAAAGAAAAGGAGAGCTGCAAGGTACATCTACCAAAGACTGGAATTGAAGCCTTTGCTCAAAACAAGACTGTTGAAATATTTTATGTTGTTGCATCACATGCCAATTTTGTTTTATAGTATTTGAAATGTATGTAATTCTATTATGGTGATGACTGTACTGAAAGAATTCTATCTTAAAATAATGGGTAACTAATCTAAATAACTGGAATAGGAAGCTTTTTTCAATTTGCAAGACTGTCTGCAGAAGCCCTACCATGCAAACAGCCTGTTTATAGAGTACAGGCGGCAGGAAGAAGTCCTGTTCACCAAAACAGCATGAGCTTTAGTCACCAACTGTAACAGATCACAAGCAGTTTTGTTTCATTTTGTGTTATCAGGAATTTTTTGTTTTAATTTATTTCATGGACACTACCGATTTTGCTAAGCAAAATATTGTGGCATAGCTTCTTTGGAGAAAAAGGTGCTTTCACCTGCATTGTACGCAAATTTCCTTTCAGAAGATCTGTGAAATAATTCTGGCAAGAATGATCACCTTAATTAAGATTTCAATTTCATCTTTCATTTGCCAAATAGCAATTTGTTTGCCAAGTTGCCATGTAAAGTAAAATAAAATTTAAATCCAAAACAAATAAATAATTATTTTTATTATATTTGTGCTAGGGTAAAAGAGAAGGAAGATACTGTGAAAAGACAACATTGTGTTTCAGTGTGTCTTAATTTCAATCTCTTTTCTGATTAAGTAGTGACTCCCCACTTTCCTTTATTAGTACTTATTTCCTTGTTTGTTTTTTGTTTGTTTGTGGGTTTTTTTGTTTGTTTTTTTTTTAGTATTTTTATGCTTTCAAGTAATACGAATATAAACAAAATATGTTGAAATTCTCAAGTCCAATTACCTGTCCAAAGCTATGACGCTTTCAAAATCACGGACTGCAAATGACCATTGCTGCTGCTTTGAGTAAATGATCCCACGATGAAGAAAAGAAGAAAAATTCTCCTGAGTGTCATTGATGAGTACTGTGAGAAAGAAGAAATGAGAAATCAGTAGTTCAAATATTCTCATTTACTTCTGTTACTCCACTCAACTTACCTGCAGTTCACTCTTTACTCTGGCTTTCCAAGAGTTTCATAAAATATAATTGTTTAACAAGTTCGTAACATAACATATTACATATGGTTTTAATAGTGCTTCAAATATGTATAGAATTCTCATTTACATTCAAACTGTTAGAATTAAAATCAAAAAGGCATAGGAATCAGAGTGAAAATACCTGAGGAGTAGCAACAGCAGCAACAGTTGATGTAATGAACTTAATAGAAATGAAAAGGAACAAATTATTAGCATATACTGAAAAACAACTATATTTTTCAGAAACTGAACAGGAAATAATTTTGCTGTACTATAATATAGTAATTAATGGCTGATGATCATTTCTCTTTTTAAACAAACGTGCACCTTTAGAAGTAACAATACCAGAAACACTGAAGTCCTGCAAAGCTCTTTTTGGATCGATCTCCCGTAAGATGCAACCTCTATAGTAGAATGCTAACCAACAAGAGGGGTCTAGACGAATTGCTGCTGCCAAGTCTTGTATTGCATTTCTATACTGCTTCTGTTTAGCATATGCTCTTCCTCGATATAGCCTAATAAAGAAGAAACAATTTGAGTCAACTTAATACCAACTATTCTTCCTTTAATGCCACGCAAATTTGAAGCACTTACTTAGGAGGAAAAATGTTGAAGAATAAAAGAAAATGGTTATTCTGTTTCTCAGTGCATTAAAACAAGCCTAAAGGAAGAAGGTCCTACAACCTATGCCATATAGGCAGATTATTGCACTTCAATAATCCAAGCTCAATATAACACAGCACTGTCAGTTTAGAGATGAGTTGAATGGGAGACTCTCTGAGTTCCACAGTGTATTGGTGCAGCAGTTTGAGTACAGAAAATGCTAATTTTCCTCAACTCTTACATAAACAAGAAATAAAAGCAGTCTCATTAGTATGTTAAAGCTTTCTGAAAACATCCATCCTATTCTTCAATATTTCTTTAAAGCAGCCAAGTTTACAGTCTATTATACTACTCCTCAACAAAATTCAAAATTCTGCATCCCAAGGAAACAGCACTTGCATCTAAATTCAAGTGGCATCATATGGCATTGCACCTTTGTAATTATTTCACAGGTTACAGTATAGAAATAATGTAAAACTTGGTAGGAACTTGAATAAAAATTGGACGTTTTCCAATGAAAAAACAAGAAAAAAAAATCAGTCTTTTAAAGTCAAAACTCAAATACATTGTTGTAATTTAAAAATAAAGATTATTCTCATTCATATATTTGGATTTTTTTCCCCTGCAGAAAGCATTAACTAAGCATAATGCTAAGAAGTGTCAAGAAAACAAATTGAAATTCAGCATAGATCTACGCAATACTGAAGATACTGTTCACTTTAAGCATTTATTTAAATCCAGTTCTTTACAGAAGAGCACAATCCAACCTACTCTATATTTGCAATACTTCAGATGACACTGAATACATGGTTCTATGCTTAGTTAAATTAAGTTTTAAGTACTAATACAAAGTCACTAAAGCAATACAAAGATTCTCCAATGAGTATCATGGCCTAATAGTCTTACTCTATTTCTGACATACACCTCTTTGAAAATGCAATTGCTTTATTACTGTATAATGCATTTTAATTGGATTATTAAAACATTAATATGCAAAAGACATTAATGTTTGCATATTAATGTTTTAATAATCCAATTAAAATCCAAATTCTTATGTCATATTCTATATTATACCTTGCTTGAGCATTGCTAGGGTCTTCTCTAATCACAGCTGTAAAATCCTGAATAGCTGTAGTCAAAATTGAATGATCAAAGAAATATATTCCATGTTTCATAAGTGCATCTGTTCTTTTCGGGTTATATTGAAAACACTATAATAAAAAAATAAAGAATTACATAATGCTATAAAAATAATGTTATAAAATTACATTTCATCATTCTCTTTTTTTTTTTTTTTTTTCCTAATTCTCTTCTCTGCTATCATTTCCATTAATGGCACAGTGAGATAGAGAAGCAGTGATGCAAACTTATCAGTGCTTGAGAACATGTAGACATTCAGTAATTTACTGAATTACCAGACAGGAATGACAGAAATAAGTAATTTTTATGACACTGATTTCTTTTAAAACATCATTCATTAGAAAGAATATCTGTGCTCAAAGCTACTTTCCAGATATATCCACATACAATTTACTTTCAAAGTTAACAAGAACTACAACATTATTGCAACAATACAAAAAAGTTAACTTACTTTGGCATAATCATCTACAGCCAACAACAATTGATTTTCTTCAAAATACAACTCAGCTCTTCTGAAATAAATGTCATCATCTGTAGAGTTGCATTGTATTGCAGAGCTGTAATTGATGATTGCCATTGTATTATCACCTTGTTTTCTGTAAATTTCAGCCTTTGACAGGTATGCATCTGAAATAATCCCACAGAACAGAAAAGGCACTATTTAGCAGTCCAAAATAACGTCATCTCCTTCTTACATAATATTAGAAACAAGCAGTAGAAATTAAACCAGAAAGTCTAGAAGTTGTTTGAGCTGAGCAACAGAGCTCAGAAATTTAGAGCTGTGTGCTCTGTCCTCAAGCCCATATAGATGGAAACTGATAGTACCCGTGAATCCCACAAGAGCTATAGAATTTCTTTGCTCTCTTCAGAGCTCAGTAGAAATGTCCCATCAAGCCATTTGAATTAGTCCTGTTGACCACAAACAGACAAAGAATAGATTTGGTATCACGAACTGTAAATAGTTACTGATCCTGGTTGAAATAGAGGTAGCTTTCTTCTTAACTGCCCATGTGGTGCTATGTTTTGAATTTGGGCTAAAAGTAGGGGTATCAATCCTGCATGTGTGAAGTGGTGAGTGATTGTATCTTTCCTTTTTGTTTGTTAAAGTGTCAGCACCTCGAGTTTTCTCTCTTTTGATCTACCTATTTTCTCCCGTCCTGCCAGGCATGGGGTAGAGCAAGGGAGCATCTATGCAGATCCTTAGGCGCTGTTTTGAGTCAACTCACCCCAAATGTTCACTTCCATGCCACAAATGACTGAACAGTTCCCACTGCCTTATAATAAATTCTAGTGAAAAAAATTCGAGGAAAAAATTGTAATAGAGCACAGAGGACAGTGGCACCAGAGCAGCAGAAAACAAAGGCACCAATAATCTTTTAAGCCGCCACACTAGCACGTAATACAAAACTTCCAAACGATCCTCAGAAGTACAATGTTCTCATTTTTGTGTTCTGCAGCAGACCTCAACCACAATACCAAATATAACAAAACAGAACTCTCCAGTAGACACTGACAACCTGATGAAGGAGTAAAATAGCTTCTCCTAGCCTTAAGCATGGCTGGCCTCTGATCAGTTAAAACTGATCACAAGTAGAGTATAAGCAAGATATTTGAATGTGAGGGTAGAGAAAAAAAAAAGAAAAAAGAAAACCACACCACCCCCTCGTCCTTACAGATAGCTTAGCTAAAGCTCTGAGTAACACGTAATAGATGTAATGCAAAAAACAGCAAGTCACCTTTCCCTCACTTCCAATAAAGTAAAGGACCTGACAACCAAAGACCAGTATGAATTTACATCTCTATAACCACTGTTAAATACTGTTATAAAATTCATTTCACTTTATCGAGCTCTGCTTTAAAATCCTCACTGAACTACATTACTCAATTTAGAAAGCAACTCCAGAGCTTCACTCCTAAGATGGTTAGAAATCCCCTCTAATTCACAACTCAACATTTATCCATGAAAAGTGTACAATTACCTATCTTGCACTGTTATCCTTCAATTTAAAGCTTTTCTCCTCATGAAAATTACTTCCCACACCTACTTGCAGTATAAATACAGATGTTTATCATCAAATGTAGACAGTTGTTGATCAACTCTAACAATTTAAACTACACAATGAGATCATATAATGAATGTATTGTGTTCAAAACAACAATACAGTGACTTTAAAATTTAGCATATTTCTTACCTATCCTTTCGATGTTCTGCACAGAGAAATAGTTTCAGCAAATTAAAATCATCTGAGTTATTTGAAGAAGCATTAAAGAAAGAAAAAAAAAAAAGGGTAGATCACAAAGGAGCTTTCAACTCCCCTAGTCCAGGGGCTTAATTCAGGGCTAAGTTTTAAGTCAAGCAACGCAGGGCCTTGTCCAGGTTTTAAATCTCCAAGAAGTATCTGCTTCAATATTTCACCATTCCTACAGTGAATATTATCATGCCCAAAGATCTCCGTTGTTGCAACTTATGCATAGTATCTCCCATTTGACTGAGCATCTCAAAGAAAAGTCTGATTCTGTTTGCTCTATTACTACGCATCACATAGCTGAGGATATATTTACCTATTAGCCTCACTTTCTCAAGGCTAAATCAGCTTCCTCAGACTTTCTGTACAAAAGGGTATGTTTCAGGCACCTGACCATCTTAACAGATTTCCAAAGGACTCTCCAGTTTCCCTCTCTCATATCAAGCACAGTACTGGAGATGCAACACCACAATCAGGCAGGGGAGAATCACTTTACCTCACCTGCAGGGCCACACTCTCTCAATGCATAGCTAGCCTCCCCTGCTGCAAGGATGCACTGATGATTCACATAATTTGTTCTGGAGAGCTGCTACTCAGCCACCAGTTCCCAATCCATACAGATTACAGGCACCTAAAAAACTTATGCCAATTCTTCCTTAGAACACACAGACCAAACTTGACTCTCTTTATTCTTCTGGCCAACAGGTGACACATTTTCCTTTTAAGGTCCTCCTTCATAGTATAAAGCTCACAGTAGAACAAGTCTGACTGAATGCACAATAGCATGTTGTCCCCACTATAGGATAATCAGCTTCCCCCATTAAATTAATCAATATAATCCTCTTTTTTTTTTTTTTTTTAAAAGTACAATAAAATTAAGTACTTATTTTTTTTCTTAGAAATCAATTTCCTGTCCCAAATACTTGAAGATGTCAGCTTTATAGTTTTCCTATTACAGGAATAAAGAATAAACCAACAGAAGTTAGTTAAATATCTACTTTGGATGAAAAGTGAGCTGCTTAGAAAGTTAAGTTACACTTCAGTAGATACTTACCTGCTTTATTTTTGTTCCATTTAGTTATGAAATTCAGGTCATTTAAAGCAGCAGAAAATTTGTCTTGAAAGAGGTAAATCAAATGTCTATGCCAGTAAGCATCAAGTAGTAGCGGTTCTAAGCTTATAGCCTACAAACAAAATAAGAATAATATTTTGTTTTGCAGAAGAAACTTCTCAAATGTGCTAACAATAGCACATGGGAAATGAAATCTGTTTGTACCAAAATGATTTTTAATTAATTTTAGACAACTTCTATTTAACCCATAAATCTGAAGAGTTTGACTGATGCACCCATTTAAAAGCAATATATGCTTACAAATATGCAGAATCAGAAATCAGACTACCAGAATTCAGTATAAAACAGATCAGTTGTGATATTACCACATTTATTTCTTTCGTAGTTACCTAAATTATTTCTAAAAACTCTGAATGCTTAGAAACATTGCTCATGTATTTGAAAGTAAGAAATAAACATGTCTCCGTGAAAAAGGTATCCGTTTTTCAAACTACACTGTCATGATTCCTATAAAAGTACTTTACATTTCCTAATACATCCTAATATTCCTATATTCCTAATATCCTAAGATATTATTTGATAGATATGGATAATATCTATCAAATTTTATATTTTTTTTTTCATTGTACAGATAATACAAACTTAACAGCCATATGGAAATAAATATAGAGACAGATACACATCCAAGACTGGTCTGCTACAAAAGCAATTCTCAGATTTGGGTCTGTAAGCCATTTCTATGATCCATTAACTACACAGAGATTGCATTTGTGTACCATGAAAATAACAATCAATGTTTTCACTAAATTATGCAGTAGCTTAGCAAGCAGTTAATAGGGGCCCACTGGTCAATGGGTCATTCTGTCAGTGTGGAATTTTTGGCCTTTTCAGACACTTGACTGCCCATTTCTGAAGTTCAAGGTAAAAATTCTTTTCTTTTTTTTTCCTTTTTGTCAGTGTTTTTATTCTGTTGGATTACTTCTGACTAGTTGTGCAGGGTATTTAGCAGAATTAACAGCAGGTTTTGTAGCCCTATAGAGGAAACAAAGGTATATAAAACAAATATGCATAGAAAGCCACTAATACTACTGTATAAAACATCAGTGTTAAACAATAGCTCAATCATAAAAAGAAAGTGCATTACTTTCCATTTCAATTTCTCACTATGCTTTTGCAGAAATTAAAAATGTTTGTCAGCAGCATTACTTAAAGCAAATAGCCTCTGTCCTTTCCATCTATCCTCTCTCCAACATACATCATATCACTTCAGGTCTTAAGTGCTGTATCCTGAGCAAGGGTCGTAAGTTCAGTTTAAAAAAAAATGTAGGGGGGGTGGGCAAGGGGGTTCTGACACAGTAGGAAAGCTTGGCATTAAGCTTACTTTTTCCAAGTCATCCATAGCTGATTTTAGCTTGCCTAACTTTCTTCGTATTGCTCCACGCCTGCAATATTGAAAAGCTGAAGGATGCTCAACTTTTTCTATCTGATCAGTCAGTCTTCTTACTTCTTCTTCTAAATCTTCAGTACTAACTACTGCATCATCAAGCAGAACAGGTTGTACTGAGTCAACTAGTTCTATTTGTAGATTTGTTTCTTTAGAGCCCACTGCCTTAGCTCCTTCTAGCAACTCAGTACCCTTCTCAGGAACAGTCCCACAAGCAGGGAATGTTTCATCGAACCAGCAGCTCCAGATTCCACTGACCCACGCACGAGCAGAAGTTTCTTTTGGAATTCCACCCCTCACTTTAGCAAACTTTTCAAAATCCAACAAACAAGGCATGCTTGGGCTCTGATATAGTTTGATCGCTGGCGACACCTTGATAATGAATTTATTATGAATAAGAAGTCTTCCTAGAGACACAGACCTAAGGAAAGAAATATATTAAAATTAACTAAATATTTCCAGCTATATTAATAATACTAAATTACAGTCCGCCAGTCAATAATTAACAAGAGAGTTGACAATACATTTATGAATAATAATGACTTTTAAACATCAGCCACTTATAAAGAATACTATTGAATTTATGAGGTAAGCAGAATCCTGAATGATCCACGATCCCAAGTAGTTCAGTGCTTATTCGCAATTTCATGCTAACTTCTTCAAAAAAGCTTCTAACTTCAGTTTACAATGGGAGTGCTAAATTTAAGAAAGGACAATATTTCAGTTTGGCTAAATATGCAGATGACAAATCCTAGATGGATGAATATATTGATGATAGATAAATATGATACAGATATATCTCTATCTATATGGATGATAGATATTCAAAGGAGGCCATGAAAATATAAGAATTAGCAATCAAAGTTAAGCAACTAGAAGACCACGTGAACTTGAAGAGACACTTCCAAAATTGTAAGCTAAGAAAACTTGTCTGTTCTAAAAAGAGCCTCCACAAAGGATCACAATTAACATCTGCTTGGGAACTTGAAGTAAAAGAAACAAATCTTTAACAGACACATTTAATATTTTTCACAAAGAATACTAGCCTTGCTAACACAGAATGAAATACTAGGAGAGAATCCTAAGAAATCTATAATGCTTTTATATAAAAAGATATGTAATTATAATATTTGTAATATTTTAAATTTGAAGATCCCACTGAGAAAAAGGGAAATTGAAGGAAAAATAAAGCAATCTTGTGCATGAATATGTACAATAATACAAAGATGAAAGCTCCATGGATTAAAGAAACTGATATGAAATACTTAACAACTATGTAGTACTGTCTAAAACAGAACTTTGGAGAAAGGCCACCATCTCCCTAAGTTTCCTCTTACTATAGCAGTATATCAGTCAGTAATTTCAGTATATTGATTTTCTTAACAATAAACATACAGAAAGGTGTAAAGGCAGAAAAAGGAGAACCTGAATGTGAAACTGGCCTGAAGGACCAGGCCTAAGCATTAATATAAGTTACAATGGGGACACACAACATGACTGCACACAAAACAAGAGCAACTTTGGGAGGTTTTTTCACCTTACACTTTAAGCACCTGAATTTAAAAAGTATCATTCTGCTAAAGTCAAAACTACAGCTTGGATATTTTTTTTAAGGTAACCCATATATAAATAATAAGCATTCACTAGAACAATGTTTTAGAGCAATACTTAATATGTAAAAAGATAAAACCTGTAATTAGATAATACAGCTAAAAATTGAAATACATTCTTTAAAACAGCAAAACAGTAAAAAAAACCTTTTAAGAATTCTTGGAGGTTGATTTAATTTCTTAATCACAGCTTCTAATTTTCTAGTATTTATTGTTTTCCTTGATTTCTTCTTCTTCTTCTTTCCTTTTGGGACAATAACACATTTAATTCCAGCCTTTTGAGCTCTCTTTGCAAGTACAGTATTCTCACTATCCTCTTGTCCAGTCAAAGTAGGCATTTTTTCCACTGGTGCATTTGTCTCCTTTGAGTGGCAATCATCACAGATTTGACTCAAAAGATGCTTGGCAGGGGAGCTTTTTGCAGTCCTGGTCTCAACCTTTGGCTCAGCTATTTGTTGCTTCATAAACTCCAACTCTTTCATGCTGGTTTTGAAATTAGCTGACATCTTTAATATAGTTTCATGTTTGAAAGCAGTTATCTCCGGAGCAGAGACTGACCTTTTAATCAAATTTATCTGGTTTAAAAAAAAAAAAAAAAAAAGGAAATTTATTTTTCATTTAAATGTTCATTTGAATTAATATTTATGTATCATATTTGCTTGGTTTGAATAAACTGGATTTTATTTTGAATAGAATTATAAAGAATATCAACAAGGATATGTTGAAAAACACATAGTATTGAATGGGACAAAAGAGCCACACAACTCCAGATATGCATCAAAACAAAGACATCTGAAACATTAAGTGAAAGTTATTTGAAGCACATATAAGGCTAAAATTAATTTTCTCTAGAATGTTATCATGAGAAATTTGAAGTAGATAATCCTCTCCCTGTAGGAATGGAAATTTTAAAGAGAAAAATGTACACCACTGATGGTAACATTAAAAAAAAGATGAACAGATATATTCATAACATTAGAACAAAAGATGGGACAACTGTAAAGTTCAGAAATACGATTGTACCATCTAGAAATAGAGTTGAAATCTGAATTGAATTAGACATCCTTATATTTTGTGTTCCAATTCCCAAATCACCTGACAAAAATAAAAAATAAAAAAGAATAATAGTTATGATCTGGTGTTTAATTGTAGTCATTATATAACATCTGCAATTTAAAAGCATATTGCATCCTACTCTTTTAGTTAACTCCATTTCATTTGTCTTACACTATAATATAAGGCATAACACAAATTTGTTAAAGAAATTAAAACGTAATTTCATATCCACTGTCTGAAAGTTAGAGAGGAAAGAAAACATTTGTTAATCTGAAAAAAAACAAATGTAGCATTCAACAAGACTATCTGTATTTGAACAGGAAACTCTGATGCTTTAAAAAAAAAAAAAGCATCAATGTTCAGTTCAAACTGCAGACATAGTGTTTAAGTTACTCAATTTATTATTACATACACTTTGAACTGCTACCATGCTTCCTATCCCTCTTAAAAATAAAATGGCCATAACACTTTAAGCAGGATTTTATGAGCTATTCAGAAGTTTTAAATATAGCCTCTGCAAATTCTTACTCAAAATCAAATTTCTCAATTAAACACTATCTACATAAACTATAAACCTCCTTGTTGCATAGGTGTAAAACATGCATGATTTATTGCAGTTTAATGTATTTCATGAAACATCTAACATTACTTCAACAGACATCTCAGAAGACATCACCTTACGGATTGTAAACTTAATGTTGACATCACTATACGTCTGAAATCCAAACCAGATACTGCAAATCATTACTGGTCCACTGGCCCACTTATATCACGTTGAAGGAGTACAGACTCCTCTCACTTACCTCTCTCCAAGTGCTTGTAAAGTTAATGGGAGGTTCCCATTACAAAGCTATGTTCTCCTAATAGGAAACTGAAAGGTTTAGCTTAACCAATGCACTTGAAAAAGATCTTTGAAGTGCTCACTTTTCATTTAATATGAAAATGTTAAGTTCAGTTTAGCTCAGCATAAGAATTTCTTCTACGAATAGAAAATCACAGTTAGGGAACAAATAAAAGTAAATATAAAATACCTTTGAGTTCTCCCTGTCAGAAAAATGTGAGAAAGACTGGCATCTTCTCAGCAGATTTTCTGTCTATAAGTAAAACAAAAAGTGAAAGTAAATCATATCATAATAAACCAGGTTTCAGTTGTTTCAGATACACAAATACTCAGTTGTACCTCACATCCTTTGGTAAGGAAAGATTTTCCTGTGGGATCTGGGTAAGCTTTTACCTACTTCTGCCTCTCAGATCCATTCACTGAAGTATGTTTACATAGAGTTAGCACTTTGAAGTGAATAGCATCATTTGGCACTTCAGGCTCTCTGTGAAGCTCATGGCTCTCATTGCTGCATTGCCGCCAAAGACCAAAGGCATTTAAGATGTGCATGATTTTATAAATGGACAGACTCACACTACAACTTACATTTCTAGTTCTCGCTTACGAATCACTCACCTGCACAGAATTTCTTGACTATTCTTTAACATTTATAATACCTTTGGAGAAATTCTACATAAAAAAATTCACATTTCCTCACAAGAGGAAATATTCCTCTTCCCCTGTTCTCCTCCTTGCCTCTCGCTGTTTTTTTAGATGGCTGTATGTAGTGGAACATCCAGCAACCTTCCCTGTCGTGCCCCCAGAAATCTCTTATTTACATTTAGCTCCTACTCCTGAAGCAACTAAGAATAGACTCAGGTTCTAAAACATGAAATTTAGCATTTTCTATATATTCAAAAAATGAACCAAATTTAAATACTGTATTTCATTTGCACACATTTTAGCAGTCAACTATACATATATCGCTTTATGACTTCAAACTAAGAATTGTTTTGCTAAGCTTAATTACATTCAAAAAATACCACAATACACACCAGTAAATAATCACAGAAATCGAGATCAGCTTGCTCAGCTTCTAACTCTTCTTCATATTCAATTAAAAAGTCTTCATACGTGATATCTTCAATAACGTTGCTCTGAAATATTAATATATTCACATATTTAAATAAGTACAACATTATTATTTGTCAGCCCTGGTAACAAGTCAAGCCTATTACATATTTGAGCTAAAGAGATATGATGATCAAGATGAACATCACAGGAGCCATTTATCTTAAGCTACTGAAGGACAGGCAGTGGAACACATTTAATAAGATCAAGAATGATACGGTGCAAAAGGGGCATATAACCTGAAATAAACAATTATTGCTACCTGATTCCCTAAAGTTTTTATCTGTAGCCTTCGTAATTTATGTCAGCTCACAGCAGTCCAAATAATAACTAACACATATAATAACTAACACAGCTTTCAGTTCAGGTAACAGTAAGGCTAGGAAATAGCAAATAACATCAAGTTTATTCCTGCTGTTAATTAATCCAGATGTGCATTTCATATCTTGCACAGGGGTGTGGACTGGTTGTGAAAGGCTGTTTTTTCTGTAACCTTTGCCACAGGAAGGTGCAATGTACCATGAATATGGAATTCCAGTAGGCGTGGCTAATCTCTTGCAACAGGATAACCATAGAGGAGTTTTCACATTCAAGAAATTTCAAAATTCAAAAATATTGGCAACTGACAAAATAGACTTTATATAATAGATATTGTAATTTTATTAAATTTTTATATATACCTCAGCCAGTACAGCAGAAGAAAGCCTGTGCAAAAATATCTTAACATTTATGTTGAAAGCCAGTAAGAAAGATAGAGTAGCAATTAGCAGTTAAGAACAACTACTACCAGAAACTTTCTTATTGTTAAAATGGAAATTAAATATACTATTTAGTGCATATTAATACAAACTGTACATTGAATTATATACCATAAATAGTGAAGCATTACTATAATAGCAGTTCAAAATGCAACTACAACATTTAACAAATATAACATTAGAAAATCAAATATTTTTGCAAAAGGTATATTTTCAGAATATTTACCTCATATTTAGGAAATAAAATTTCCTTCATAGAAGAAATTGGAGCAAAGAACTTTGGTGGAACAGGAGCCCAGAACATTTTCAAAGCTTCTGGATAAATGGAAACCTTCAAAACCAATGGAATTCAGTTATCAGCTAACACGAAACAAGTTTATTACTGTCAGTATTGAGTCTGAACTATTAGGTGATAAAATATGATTTTGTAAAAAAAAACAAACAAACAAACAAAAAAAAACACTTTAAAGTGCATCAAATACAATGAAATTTTGTGACCTACAGGGCTCTGCCACCTGAAAGAACTACACGGTTTGTAGTTTTCTTTGTTATTAGCAAATTAGCATAATATTATTACAGACAAGAACTGGGTCATGAGATTTTAGAACAACAGAATAACTCTCTCCATCAGTAAAAACTTTAAATATCGTTACACTGCAACTTGTCAAATGTCAAAAAAAAAAAGATCTTTACTTCTAGGCATTTCATACAACAAAAGAAAAAAGCAATTAAAAAATACTTCCAAAATATTGTGCTTCAGTTGCAGAATTGCACAATTACATGACATAATTATTAAAATTATTTCTTACTTTCTCTCCTACCAGTTGAAGCTGTGCTTTTTTAAGACTATAATCAGCTTTTTGCCACTCAGCCAGAGTTTTTGATGTATGAGGTGGAAGAGAGCGAATCCCATCTTTCTGATTATTCTGAAATAGTTCTGATGCAGGAACTCCTTCATAACAAATTCTGCAGCAACACAGAAGAGGATTTAAGTTATTTGGATGCTGTCATGTTTGAAATAAGAAAAATAGAAAAGTAGGTAATTTTTAATCAAACTAGAAAAGCTTTTATTTTTTCTCAGAAGGAAACAGCTGAAGTTTGAAATGACTCATTTAAGAAACCTGCTGCTAAGCCTCTAATTTTAAGACTTCCACAATTAGGTCTATGGTGGATATTACTTGTAAATGAAGTCACAATATAACAGTAACCTCCGAGTATGAAGTGCATTGTATAAAATAAGTAACTTTATGCAAATATACAATTCAATACTGTGGTTATGGTCAGAGAGACTTAAATGCCCAAGAGAAATTATTTCAGCAGGAATGTTGGGCTGGTTTTAGCAGTATTTTTAGTCATTACTTTGGGATAGGATTCTGATTATTGTTTGCTTGCCCTTTATTATTTAAAATGAGTTTACCTATGGCAACCAACTTGGAAAAAAAATCACTTCAGAAAGTTGCTGTAGTAAGTAATTATGCATCTTAATTCCTGTCAAAGTTTCAATTTCAAAAATAGTAAACACTTAAGCAACACAATGCAACTCATACTTATCTACATAAATCTATATATACATATGATCCTATAATAACTTATCTTTATTTCCTTTGTTTCTGACACCTGAAAAGCCAGATTTAGATCTGAAGAACATATTACTTCTAAGAAACTAGTAAAACTATTTTAGAGAATAGCAGTAATCACTATTCCAGGTCTGCTATCATTCATCACTTAAACATATATTTTATAGGATTTATGTAAAAAATGATAACATATTTTTTAATTAAGAGTAGAAAATACATCTGTATATTTAGCTATTCTTGTTTCTTGCTTGACAGTACAATAATTACTCCTGTTGTCACTTATATAATTATTCAGTACCAGAATTACAAGCACAAAATATATTAAATGTTTCATCTATTGTAAGTACAGAGGAACAAGAAAAATATAACTACGTATATGCATGCAAACTGCATATGAAGTGCTTACAACACGAACACAATTTTTCTTAACATATTGGCACCTTGGCATATGCCAACACTGACATCTACTGGTGTTAATCAGATCTGGGGTAGTTTGCAAACACTAAATAATGAAGTCTCCTTGTGTTTTCGTGGAATTAAAGTGCTTGATTCCTGTTACCCGCAATGCCACCACCAGGTGTCTTATCTGCTGCAGTGGGCTTCATTCTCACTTAAAATAGAAATATGTTGCATTTAATTTAAGACTTATCAAAACCCTGCGTAAATGGGAGCAACAGGGAGGTCTCACTGTAACTAAGAACCAGCCATTTGATTTAGCAAACAAAATGCCTCTGAAGTACAACCCCACATTGAAAAGGAATCTTTAAAATGCAGCACTAGTGCAAAGAAAGATTGTAGACCTGAGAGTACTTCTTGAACTCTTTCTGGAATGTTCCTTTCTTGAAGTGGAAGCTTTGAAAAAAGACCTGTTTCTTGTAAAACGAACTGAAAGCCTAACTTTTGGTGAGTGTTTGGCCTTCCTAGTTTTTGTTTCCATTTAAGTAGTCAATGGTTTTGACTCTTCAAGGTGAGAGTCTGCATAAAAGGTATGTCAAGAAGTTATACAAGATAGAGAAAGGTATAAAACAATCAAAAGATTCTTTAGCATTTGACCATCTTAAGTGAACAGTGTAAGAGTTGTTACTCTTTTAGGGCACTTTCGTCATAAATAGTTCTCAATTCAGTGAGTTTATACCAAGTAATAAAATGTGAGTTAATGTGAAACAACGTTCAGGCTTCTCATTTCTGGAAGACAGCAACAACATGAAGGAAAGCAGCTCAGTGCAATAATAATAAATTCTAATAATATTCTTATTCCACCTGTTGGTTAATAAATAAGAATTCAATCAGAACATTTCCAGGAGATAAAGCATTCCTGCTTGAAGGAATTTTAACAAAGATAAGATGAAGCTAAAAACCATGTTAAAGTATTTGCAAGATTTCTGCCAGGAATGGATCTGACCATGCCCATATAATGTTCATTCTGATTAACTCTTAAGTCTTTATGGCTAGAAAATAGCATTTTTAACTCTCAAACAACTGATACTTGCAGAGTATGTCAAGATTAAGCAGGACATAGAAAGCAAGGGACCTTTGTCATATATGAAATAAACACAATGCAGTCAGTCCTAGGTTATAGCTGACCTGGAGATGTATATGTACTGATAAGTAATACTCTGCTCTGTTGTTTTCTCACAGATGTGAATGAAAAGTTTGTTGTTTTCGAAACCTCCAGATATTTTTCACAATGAAGATAAGGCTTGAAAACAAAATAATTATTGCTTTATTAATCTGATCCGCTATAAGAATCATACAATTGTAACGTGCCTGACAAAGTCATTTAAATTTCACTATGAACTGCATAGAAATCATGCTTATTCTCAGTTAGGTTATTTGTATTTGTGAAATTAGACAAGTTCCAAGAATTTGTCAGCAATAGATGTGAGCAGTGTAAATCAACTTAAATTAGTACCATATAAATGATATCTGTTATGTTCAAGGCTCACTTAAGTCAACCAGTTCTTAGAAATAGTAACAGACTGTGGCAGATTACGCCACTAGATGGCAGTGCTCCAAAGAGTTAAGTTTTCTCGTTTTTCCAGATCAAACAAATTTGAGCAAGGATTTTTTTTTTTTTTTTTTTTTTTTTTTAAGAAAACAGGCATCTTTTAAAATTTCTCATCTGTTGGAATATAGATCTGCATTGAAACCTTTCTTCTGACACATAAAGCTCAGGCTCATCCTTCGCTCATCAGCTACCCCTTGAAAACAAAACCATTGTCACCTTCAAGCCCCACCTTCACATAGCTTCCACAGTTCTTAGTTTCATTAGCATCTCTTTACATTACAGCATCCTGTCCTTTACTCACTTCCTCTATTCCTAGTAAGGTGTACAAATAAACACATTGTACAAGTTACCTATCCAAAGTAATGAATCAGTATGATTCATAACTATTCTGCACCAACAAAAATATCAGACTACCTACCTCCTAGAGATTCCAGTGCTAGCTCAGCAAGTCTGAAGTTCAAGGATCTTACAAGACTTTGCAGTATTCATGGTTTCCCCACTACTTGCTTTCATCACTATGGGGAGCACTCCCATCGTTCAACAGGTAACATTCACAACATACTAAAATTAAAGCTTTCTTTTCATCTCCCTAATAAGCTATTTGTCTGGTATTTAATATCATATCTCAGTTGCTGCAGCATCTGTTTCTTTAACCCAGATAAGCACCACCTTGTTCTATTCGCTCTTTTTCTTGTTCTGTTCTTTTTCATTTAAAGTGCTACTGCAAAGATCATATAGCTCCTTGCTTTGAATGTTATGCTATTCTTTGAAATAAGAAAAAAAAAGAGTGCTAATTCAAACATGAGATGCTCCTCTGCTTTCAAAGCACTCAAAGACCTTCCTTCTTCTGTTATCTCTAGATTAGTAAAGCTGTGCCAACTGCTATTTCTACACAACTTCTGACTCTATCACTGGCTTCTTAAGGGTTTATTTTCCCCCTTTATGAACACTTTTTTTTGCCCACACTTAAATTGCCTCCCATGCTTGAGAAAAGATCACAGCCATTAGCTTATTTTCTCAGAACTTCCTTAATGACTCTTTCCTCATGACCTGCAAAACAATTAATGGCCAGGCTTCTGGCCACTCCAGCAGAAGCTGATACAAACCTATCGGAAGGATCAGGGCCTAATCTGAAGTAATGCCATACTTGATGGTTGGGACAAACTTGACTGCATCAAAAGAATTCAAGATCTAGAAGTTTTCATACAACAATTTTATGGATTCAGATTTTATGGTAAAAGAAACATCATGACAAACCCATCCTGGTCCTCCAAACAGTACAAATAATGCAACTTCCTCAATATTCCTGCTCATTAATTAAGTTCATAGTTCCCTCGGTGAAACTCAGCATACAACTTAAATAAAGTCTTGATATAAAGGCTGCAATCAGTGAGTAGTTTCATAAGGTACTTTCATTGCTATACACTGAGGTCTTACAGCTACTCTCAAATTTGTCTAGACTGAAATGTCAGCTACTGAGTCTGTTAAGTTTTCATTTATGCAAGTTCTCTTACAACAGAAACTATGCCGCTTAGATTAAAAACATCTCTTATTTCTTACACAAAGACCAACATAATGATCTTTATAAGTGTCTTCACACAGAACAGGCATTCAAGTAAGAGAGAGATCACATACAGGAATCCAGATTTCTGTTTGCTCCCCAAGAACGATATTTGGAACTCACTGCTAAGTGCATTAAGTGCACACCATTCCTACAAACCTGCATAAGGAAGAACAGCAGACACCTACAGGAAATCTATTGACCCTTTCTTAAACTTAGATTTCTCAGAGACTGCAGGCAGAAATTTTCCACCATTTCAAATCCAGAACACGGAGCCCTTTTCTCAGGGTATTCTTTTCTTTTCCCCCAATGAAGGGGAGGTATAGTGGGGTTTTTTTCTTTTATAAGACAGCAATGGGAAAATATGCAACAACTGACAATTTCTATCTCTTCATGACAATTTGCTATTGAAGCATAGAGCCAGGATATGAGAATTCACTGCTTATCTGAGGATTCAAACCTCACTCACTGTTACATGATTTGACTGTTCTGGGTGCAGGAAGCTGTGCTGCTCAACAGAGAAGAATGCAAGAATCATGTAGCCAGGAGAAAAAACAAGTGGTGACATGATTGCCTCAGTTGTAAGAGCACTTACCTGGAACAAAAAAAAAAAAAAAAAAAAAAAAAGCTCTGTATAAGATTTCTAACCCCAAAACTATTACTTTCTATATATCATTCAAAATGTCTCATCTCCATTTTAACATACATGCTTGAAGGTTTGAATCTATTACATAGCCATCTTCAGTTACTTATCTTTCAAGAGTGCAAAGCTCTGCTCAGAATTACTGTTTTTCAGGATACAATCTCCCCTCCTACAAACAATGACTTCTATTCCCTTTTCCTAGCCTTGTGACCTTGCATTTGGCTGCACTAAAATGCATGTTTTTCAAGGGAGCCCAAGTTAACAAGCTACACAAATTGCCCTGTAAAACTGACCTGTCCTTATCCTTATTTACCTCTCTATCATTCTTCAGATCACTACAAACTTTACAAGCAATAATTTTATATTTCTGGAACTGATGCAGTACAGAAACTCAGACGCAAGTTGTCGGTCTGAAAAATCTTCAGGAAAAACTGGAGTGTAAAGGTTCTAGTTCTAAGATCTTCATCCAGAAAGACACAGAAAAAGGAAAAAAACATAACTGAAATAATATGGAATGAAAAATGAATATTCTTCATGTTGTTTGGTTTTATTTCACATTTTAGCATAAAATACATTAAGAAAACAGCAAGTAAGGATTTAGGAATTCAACCAAATGTAAAAAATGATAATAGTTATCATGAGTACCTCTTACATATACAATTAGTATTGTTGACTACAGCTCTATCCAAGGTTTTATACGCGCTTAACTTTGTATGTGTTGAACTCAACAGAACTTCATTAAATTACTTGAAGTTATGCTTGATGCTAAGTGCTTGAAGAATCAGGATCAATAAGATTGTCCATTTGATAAAAGGTTAGTGACTGCACGCTTCATACACACCTCCTACTCTTGCAGAATTTTACATTCATAGGAAGCCTACTCTAAGTGCTCAACATCGCTTGTTATTTCAGTGGGACCCCTCATTAGTAGAGCTAAATATAAAAACTCATTCATAACATAAAGTGAATTTCATTCTTAAAAATTAACACCACCTTTTACATTCTAAGCAAGATAAGACTTAAGACCTTTGGGCTATATAATTTTAAGCAGACCTTACAAACAAGGTAAAAAAAACCATCAAGCCTTTTTATTTGCCACTTCTGTGAAACTACTAAATACTGAAACACCACTAAATTATCTCTCAATATAATCCCTTGATTTACAAAATTAATTAAATCATAGTAACATCAATAATAAGTTCATACCTTTTCTTTTCAGCTTGTTCTTTCAAGTAAATATATTCAGAACATATGGATTCTTTCTGCCTATTGTCTATATCCTCTGCCGTAAACAAGATATTGTGACCTCTTCTGTCTGAAGTATGATAAATTCTTGAAGCCATTTGTAGATACGGAGGCAACATAAATCCGGGAAAAGCAGTACATAGATGATGAATGCTTGAATAATTTTGCTGTCTAGAAAGGGAAAAAAATAAAAAGTTTTAATAACCATTCTTTGAATTGTAAAAGTATGCAACTTATCTAAACATTACGTTCTGACATTACAGACCATAGGATACAAACTGCTAATATAAATACATGGCAAAATTTGCCTGGTAATCCAGATGCCTTCTACTGAAAGCAGAGTTAATAACACTTGGAGTAGGGGTAGAGGTGAGGAGACCCACAGGTAAAAGCAAAAACGGTGGTAATAATCTTAAAATTAAAGAATAACTGCAGTAGTCACACTTCTACTTTCCCAAAGTAGAGCTTTCACGCTGTCTGTCCTGAAAACTTAAAGTGTCTAAGTAGCATATATTTATAGCCTAAATTGGTATTGAATAAATGTTATGTTAAAATGTTATGTGTACATTTATCTGTGCATTCTCTCTCATGACAGAACACCACATAACTACTCTTAAATCTTGGAATTAGTTCTTTTATATGCTATCATTTGAACTTTTTTCATAAAGTTTCAATTCAGCTGTTGATTTTAGAGGAAACACGGCACCTTTGACTATCTTTAAAAAGTTAATAACTAAAAAAAAAAAAAATCTACCATTTAAGCCTCCAATCTAAGTTGTGCTAAAAGTGATGAAAGTCTATTGACTTCTACAGGCCATGGATCAAGCTCTAAAAACAGTCTGCAGCTACTGTATGAACTCTACAAAGTTAATAAGTATCTAAAGGTGCAGACAGCTACAACGTGACAAACAATATAGAGAAAATATCTGAGCTTTGAAACGGCTCCCCAAATGCATGCTACTTTTAATTACAGTTCACAAATATCGTCGTATTTAAAAGAAATTTTTAAATGAAAATGGTTAAAACTCCAGTTTGAGAAAATACTAATTAGCTTTCAGGTATAACTTTTTTTTTTTTTAGTTCTTCAACAAGTAGTCTATTTTACTGATACCTATGGCTTTTGTTTTTTTTAATAAAGAGACTATAAAAGGGAAATTAGTAAGATCTACAAAACAGGGAAAAAAATACAAGATCAGTCTAATCATGCAATACATATTTATGCTAATATATTTTTTTATGTACTTACCATTCCTGAACAGCAATAACAGCAAAAAAGTTTAAAGAAATCACACATGTAAAAAAAACAGTGTAATATAAAATCAATTTGACTCGCAATTAAGAGATGACCACATCAGTTATATTATTCTCAACTGAGTCCTGATGTTTACAGGCTCATGACAACAAAATATAAATGAGTGGCAACAAAATAACATTTTAATTTTAATTAAAATATTTTAATATTTTTTTTGTCAAGCCATAATGTTTTATGCAATATATGTAATATATAGAAATAACATAGAAGAAAGCCTAGCCATTTCATGCTTCAACAAGACATTTTTACCATAAACTATAATCCAAAGTTTCTACTCAAATTTGTGATTCTTTTTCCTAACAGAAAACAGGAATTGAATAAGATTTTGAAGTTAAACATTTAAAATGAAATATCGAGTTGGAAAAGCAACACAGAATATATAATACTGATTAGAATTTAAGGCTTACAGCAGTTCCATATAATGAAATTGATAGGGTTGGGTTTTTCTGGAACTAAATTCATGCATTTCACAGCACAAATTTCACAGTGTGCGATACCAGAGATCAGTGTTTTAAGAAGATCATGCTAATTTAAAATAAGAAGAAATATTCCATGATACTTTAACTGAAGAAAGAACACCTAATATGAAATATTATATTTCAGCATTCTCTAACAGTTCACTTACTCTGCAAATCAATACATATTCATTTTAAAATAAAAATAGGCAAACAATTCAACTTTGAACTTAAAACAGTTGGAGTAAAGTATGTAAACAAAAGTAAGCAAAATTATTTTAAAATCATCTGGGAACTTTTTCACGTAGATTTTGTAATTTATTTAAAATCAATAAAAACAGCTTGAATGATATCTTAATGTAGTATAATTACTTTTATTTTATTGAATTTATCATTTCATTGAATTATCTAACTGAATGCTTCATGAATGTAAACTAAAATATTCAGGGCATGCCTCAGGTGAAGGTGAATGTTTTTACAACACACACTCTTAAAACAGACTATTTATCATTCTTTGAAAAAGTGGACATGAAGAAACAATACTATGTGTGTGGCCTACATTACCCTCATTTAATGCACTAAATACAGGTTTTTTAGAAAATCATGCAGTTTCTGCACCATTGATAATCTGACAGTAAGTATTTATTGAAGGTAAAACACTCATTGTCTGTTGTCACTATTTGTTTTAATATATAATCTTGCTAACCAAATGATCTTTAAGCAATGCAGATAAGCAATGGCATGCAAAGGGTCACTTAAATGCCAATTTGACTGTTTCATAAACTTAAGCATTCTTTTCCCATGACTATTCTCAGCTACTTAATTGAAAGTATTATCCATTTACAAACTTCAGACCTCCCATAAAAAGGCTCTCTCTTCTGTATCCAACAGACCATTCAAGACCCTAAGAACAACAAAAGCTAATAATTAAAGCTGCTTCTCTCACTCTTAAAAAAAAAAAACCTCAAAAGAAAGAAGTGAAGAAGCAACTTATGGTATATGTAAAAAAGCTAGCCATAAAGATCTTAGTAGTGAACACCATAAAACTGAGGAGTCTCACTCGACATGGGACAAGACGAGATCAGTTAAATCAGGACACAGGCTGTACTACTTTTGTAATCTGCACTCCTACTAGAGAATGACAGATGCCACCTATGACAACAGCAAGGTAATAAGCAGTTGTCCTTAAATTACTGCTCTGTGCAAAATCTCCTGAATTTCAGACAAGCACTGACTGTAATACAAATTCAAGTTAATGAATTTTTAATACATCTTCTCTATTTAAAGATGATGACTTACAGCTGGCACTGCTTATATTAAATTTGTGGTATGTTCCATTGTTTGTTTTTAATTATTTTGATTAGATTACGCTTGGAATTGTATGGACAAATTCAACCCTTGCATAAGCAACTTCAGTCTCTGCTGCAGTCAAGAAAAGTTTCATCTGCATACAGCAGGAATGAGCAGGCCCTCTAGATTTTAAAAACTGTAAATCAAATCCATTTCAAGGAGGTAAGTAGCAAACAAACCACCAACCTAAACTTGAGAGATCAGAAATTGCTCAGAACTGCACGTTTCAGATCCAGATTCTGGGAGGTAGCATTATTTCTTCTCCATACTTATCTGCCATTGTATGTATTTATAACTTAACACATTTTCAATATTAATTTCATTATAATGAAGTAAGATTAAAGTATTACTTGACATTTGAAGCATGAGTGGGCAGGAAAGTCAAACACTCTTGCAAGTTGTGTTCCTCTTGTAGATCTTTCTGAACCTCATCTGGTTTAATTTTTGATATCGCTTTTCCTTCCACCCATAGCACATCTGTGGATGGAGCCTAAGATGTTCACAAGCAAAAGATAAGCACAGTGTTATAGACTGTAAGCTATACAGATATTTTCATACTCCAGTGAAGAACAAGAAGCAACGGTACACAAGAAACCCTGACTAACAGAAAACAAAATTCAGTTAAATAAGAGTAGCATATAACTACTGTCACTGAGCAGATCACAGTAACACCCACAGCTATTCAGGGCATAGGATATGCAGAAAAGTGTAGTAAAACAAAATATCCAACGTGCCCTATGATAAATAATAGAATAATCAAAAGAGCATCAGAATTGTCGCAATTCAGAACTACTACTCTTAGAAGTGCATGAGTACATCTAAAATTTGTATTTTTATGCAAATTAAGATAGACAAATGTGGTTTAAAGGATAAAACTTTTAGAAGTTTATTCAAGGTTATGCTTATTCAGTACAGCAACTTAAAAGGAATTGCTACTGTTTCCACCCACAGCTGATCATTCCAATTTATTAAGGCCAATAATTTTTTTTTTCCCACATAGTTAAAACAGACCAGATAACTGTTGAAAAAAAAAGTAAAAAGCATGCAAGGAGAAGGCAGAAATTAATCCAGATCTTTGATCCCTGTCCCACCCAAAAATTTTGTCATGGAGCAGCTCACTGAAGTCCAGGAGCAAAGGCAAACAGCAAGGGGAAGGAACCTCTTAAGATATTATTACTTCTTAAGATATTACTACTTCCAAGGCACCTACACCTTTCATAAACTTGAACTTCAAAATCTACAGAATATGCTGGAGGCCATCATAGCCTAGAAGAAACAGAAGCCCCTTCCAACCTGAAGCATTTGACAATTCTGTTTCCTGCAAGATGTTAAACATCTTCATAAAACAGACTAACTGCAACCAACAAAAAGGATTCATCTGAGCTCCCCTGAAAAGTTACCATACATAACACAGCAAAGCAGGTTCAAGAAAATTAAAAGCTATAATGAAAGCAATATGAAAGATAGAAACAGAACACTGTGGAAAACCAATTGTAAAAAAAATAAAACACATTTAAATTCTGCAGTACTTACATCAAGTAGAACCAAATGTATTTTATCTTTCCAGGTGCCTATCTTGGAAACTGCTTTTTGTTGTAACCTCACTAAACATACATTTGATGGGTCTTGTTACAACAGCACTGCTAGAGCATTACAGAAGTAGCATGCTGCCCAAAATAATACTGTCTAAAAACAATCACAGTACCCCAGTACTGTTTAACTAACTGTGAAAGTACTCTGTTAGCCAACAGTATGTAAGTTAGAATATGTAGTTTTAGTATTTCTTTAGATATTATAAAAATTACATTGACATTGTATTGTACATTGTTTACACATCATTCAGGAAATATTTCTGTAACAAACAGGTCTATATATATATATAAGGGGATAATCGTAATTTCTTACAACTACCTATGGCAAGCATCATTGTTAATTATCTATAGTCAAGAACAGACAGTATGAATGATTAGAAAAATTTTTGACCTATAGACAGACAAATATTCTAAGGACAATGTCAAAAGAATATTATATCTAATTTTGAAGAATTTTTTTTAATTACTGTTTTCATTCATGCTCTTCAGCAGTAGCTGAAATCTAATGTCTAAAATCTAATCTGTCTAACAGAAATTATTATGGTTCCACAAGAACTGATACAGCCAAATCCTTGGCTGTAGAAGAATGCCAGTCAACTGGAACTACTCAGACCATTTAGGGTTTTACTTCACATTCACTATCGCTCCAAAACAAAACACAGCACCAGGAATGGTGGGGAGTTTGTTATGTCCCTGTAACTCACTCTCAGAGTAGCCCATATCCTTTAGCTCTTCAGAACAGGTTCTTAGCTATCCTAAAACTGATGAGGAAAATTGATCGCTACTATTCTGGGTTCCTAAGGGTATGACTACCACTCTGCCTTTCTCCATGCCTTTTGACAAGACACAACCACAGCCAAACTACGGTCAATGGGAGGAGCTGAAGAAACAGCTGACACAAGGCCCTTAGGCATGCAGAAATTTTCTCATTTTGATTAGATCTGTCTTATGACTGGACCTAGAAACAATCTGCTCTCCAATAATATGGATTTCTTGTTGATAGGAATCTCTCTCTCTCTTGTCCCCTTTTCATTTTGTTCCCTTTTATCTCCTCCATTTCAATACCTGCATCTGTCTTCATGTACCATATCAAAACTTGTGTTCATCTCTATAAGTTTTGGCCAAGGCTACTCAGTATTTTTTGCACATAAAAATGTCTAGTGGAAACACCCCCAATCTTGGCTGTTCTTCACATAAAACATTGAGCAAATGTAGTAATTTTAAGGCAAAGTAATCATTCATTTAGAAGCAGCAGAAGGAAGCACGTTAAGGTTCTATCCTCAAAATACCAGAATGATTAAAACTGGCAACATATGGCCAAAGACACTTTTGGTCTTTGTAACAAATTTGTCCTGCCTCTGTAAACTTGGTATATGTTCTTTACTAGAAAAGCTGTAAGGGGTTGATATCAAATGAAAGCTCTTGTCATGTGTGAAACATCACATAACCAAAAGGATGTTGATCATTATGCTATTTTCCAGGAAGGCACACAGTTGTTAAATGTAAATGAGGATTCTATTTATACGTTGTTTCATTCCTAATCTTCTCAATCTCATAATGAAAAGCCTAACCCAACATATGACCGAATGAACCTTAATTTATTTTTTCCTCTAACGTTAAGCTGCAAGACCAGTATGGAGACCTGTATTATAGAAGAGTCTTTTAAATGGCAGGTGGTTAAAAAAAAAAAAAAAAAAAAAAAGCTTACAAATCTCTATATGCTCTAAAACATCAACACCTCAAGCATAGGAAAACTAATACTATCTCACAACAGTACTAAGCCTGCTTACCTGCTTCACCTGCTTATTATATGTTAACAGCTCATCTATAGGCTGAGATTCATTTTCTGCTGCTTGAGATTCTTTTTGAACAACTGGTGTCTTTTAAGGGAAAGGGAAAATCCATTTAGGAGATGAACATACAGTATTTTCTTAAAAACATTATTATGCTCCCTGACAAATAATTTGTTACAATATTTATTATTTTCAATTATTCTTTCATTGTACATGCATTTTATGAAGCACCTGGATCACTGTATCTGTTTTATCTTAAGCCAAATATTTCTTCAATTGAGAACTGGATTTACAAAATTAGTATACTAACAGGCAAAGGGTTTACAATGATTAACACTAAATAACAACACAGAGATTTCTTCTAAAAAACTTCTTCTACAAATTATACTTCAAAAATGTAAGAATTAACATACATCAGAAATATGTATCACTATATATAGATCCTTTAAAACAAATAAATTGTTAACACCTCTAAACATTAAGCAACATCTCCAAACACATCTAAACTTACAAATTTAAATTTTAAAAACAGTTTGAATGCAAGACATAAAGTGATGAGCATTAATATACATGAATATCAATGAATGCTTTGCAAGTTCATTGCCCTAATCCTCATGCTACTTAGTAAGAGGGAAATTCTGTATATTCAATAGCTAAAGAATCAAACTCCCAAAGAAAATAAAGAAAAAAGAGACCCAAAAGGGATAGACATAAAAGTATATTTATGATTTATGAAGTACCAAAATGTTTTCGAGCACTATTTCCTTTCCTTCCCTGTTTTATCAGTTTAAAATAAGATCTACCTATCTTAACAACTCTACAAGCAAATAGAAGTACAATTAACTTATTATATTTCAACATTCCTAGATAATGTAGAATGTTACCAGGCTTGCTTGGTGAAAACTTGGCAGGACTTCCTTGCTAGCTTGAGAATCAGTTTTTATTTCTTTACATTCAACTGGGAACTCCTGCACAAACCAGAAGGAAAAATAAATATATAGTGCAATTTTCACTACCTAATAGAATAAAACATCAAATCAATATTCATGCACAAATTAAAGGCTGGGTCTTTATTATATATATTTGAAATATACTTGAAATCATCATACACATGCAGAAACAAACTTAGGGTGATCTTTTGAAAAGGTTTCTACACATTTCACTCCTTATTTTGTGCACTGTCCAACCAGTAATCTAAAAGTGTATTTTTAATGCCTAGGATTTTTCTGCATGCCATACTCAATTCAATTTTAACAAAACATGTAATAAGTGTAGTGTGAGTTGCAACATTGTTTTGCTCGCTTAGTAGAAAATGAAGATGATACCAAAGGAGTTTTCAAGCAAGAAAAAAAAAAAAGCACCAAAAAGTGAATAGTAAAAAGGAAAAAATTTTTAGTTGCAGAATATTGCGGGCATTGGTGATTTTATTTTTAGACAAATAGCTACTTCTGACAGAAAATGCAGAGCTTAATTTTAAAAAAATCCTATTACATATACTTTTCATAACTATGAGGGTAAGAGAAAACATAAAGGAATGAAACATCCTAGATTAAAATACAGATTCAGCAATACCTTCCCAAGCTACACCAAATAATCCTTTTTTTTTTTTTTTTTTTGCAACATGTGCACATTTTCAGACACAGTGACTACAATGGACTATTAATTAGACTCCATCTTACCTAAGTGGAATTCCTTCCCCACACAATTTATTATCTAATGCATGAATTCAAAAAGAATTTTTCACATATCCTTTCATTCAAACAGGCTGGGTCAAAACTGACAGAATAGGTAGATTAGTTTTATATACTAATTTCCTTATCAAAATTATATGAACAAAGAGTACCTTCATGCTATTTTAGACACCTGTACATGTGATGCGACTGCTTTTCTTTGCTGGGTGTGGTGTTTTCTCTTTTGTTCACTCCCCATGGGAGAATTGCAGGCACAATGCTGTTCTGGTACTTTAATGTAATGTATACCATGTATATACATACTATGGGTTGTGTGTTTGTATTAACAAAAACTAAGCCAATTTTATTTAGAAATAAAAGCATTGAGACCATGGCAACTCTTAACTCCTGTGGGTCCATTCTCAAGCATTCTGCTGATTCTTCCCACACTGATATTTTGTGACAGAAAATTTTATTGTGCCTTTAAAAAAAAAAAAAACAATACTGTTTTACTGGTCATAGACTTCCACCTCATTGTAAAAAACAATTTATGGATTTAAGTACCTTCATCATTAACTGAAAATGTTGAAACAGTTTCCAGTGATTTTGATACGTCTTTGGTATCCTTGGTTGCTGAAAAAAACACTTTGAGACTCTTGACATACAGAAAATTAAGACTTTTTAGTGTTTTTAATAACTATCTCTAAATTCATCTTACTAAAAATTTTCAACTTCTCCTTTAATTGTTAAAGGCTTTTAAAATAAATTATTTTCATAGAATTCTAGAATGGTTTTGGTTGGAAAGTACCTTAAAGACCATCTAGTTCCAATGCCCCTGCCATGGGTAGGGGCACCTTCCACAACAGCAGGTTGCTCAAAGCCACATCTAACTTGGCCTCAAACACCTCTAGGGACAGGACATCTTTTCCAGGCAGCCTATGCTGGTGTCTCAGCACCACTATGTTAATAATTTCTATATATTTAATCTAAACTTACCCTTTTTCAGTTTAAAATTATTAGCCTTTGTCTTGTCACTACACTTTCTGATAAGGAGTTCCTTCCCATCTTTACTATAGGCTCCCTTTCAGTACTGAAAAGCTGCAATAAGGTCTCCCCAGCACTTTTTCTAGGCCAAATAACCCCAGCTCCCTCAGCCTGTCTTCACAGAAGAGGTGCTCCAACACCTTGATCATCTTCATAGCCTTGCTCTGCATTCACTGCAATTGATTCCTCTCTTTTGATGATAGAAAGCAATCACCAGTGTAGAAAAGACCCTGATAAATGGCAGAATAAATGTAGTCTTCATGTGTGATCATGCAAATATTCTAAAACATTCTTTTAGCTTGGTGAACTTGTACAGATTATTTATACAGGCATTGGTAATCATCCTGTATCCCTCTGACAAATCTTGGAACTCTATGAAATTACAGTTTATCAGATTAAAATCAGTTTGTTCTCATAACAGCATCTCACCAGACTAATCAGGAGTATTCTCTCCTTTTGTTAGGCTTCAGGGTAAAAAGACAGTCCATGAAGCCTGCAGCATTTCTTGCAACAAGAGGTGATTATGTGGTAAGTGTGCTAATAAGCATAAAGAACCAGGATACTGGAAAGCGATTGCTGAAACAAATCTCACAAATTACACAACTGGATTATCTTTAGTCAGTTACTTGTATTAGTAACTCTGAAGAGATAAACAGATTAGATTCCAGATGTTCCCACATGTATATCATATAATAAGCACTTCTCACTAGGCAGTTTCTTGTAACATCATTAAAACTGTAAATCTTAAAAAATAAAAATAAAAAAATATAAAAAAATCCACTAACATTTGAAGTAGTACAGGTCAACTATTCCACAGGAAAAAAAAAAAGAAAAGAAGAAAAATCAAACATCTCCAGGATCGGTAATGTCTATTGTTGAAGACTGACTCCCTTACACAAGGGTAGGCAATAACATTGCCTTTGCTATGCCATGATTAACCTTATTGAGTATAATCAATAATATGCAGTTACAGAAGTAATAATACAGAAGAAAAATCATAATATAAAGCTTCATTATCATGATTCACAATCTTTTTATACAGCTAAATAAATAGAAGTCTCATTCATTTCCAAGAAAAGAACACACCTTACAGCACTTCAGAAAAATATTTTCAGTGAGTCTCCTATGTTTTAGTCAAAAAAAAAAAAAAAAAAAATCAATACATGATCTGATGTATAATTTTCATGTCAGCTGAAATATAAAAAACCTATACAGTAAATACTTAAGATGCTATAAAGTGATGAGCAAATACTTGTTTATATTTGCTTGTAGCTAAAGCAAACAAAACTGTACTTCTGAGAGAGTACTAATACTTTACTGAGAAAGGCTCCTCAAGGCCTCACTTTCTGTTGAATAGCTGATGAGCTAGAGACATGTACAAAAGCAGAAGTATATTCTATGTTTGTTCTTTGATGACATGGTACACTGCATCGTCATCCTTTAATAGAAGCATTCAGATCTGATTCTATTTTTCCAGAGGGGAAAAAATTGTGTTTTCTTTTAGTTACCACCTTCTCATGCTCATCTGAGATACCAAACAATTGATCTGCTGAAAACAATAAGCCAACTAAAGAAGATGAGTTGCAAACTCATCACTAAGAAAGCTGAACACCAACAAAATGTATTTCCAGAATGAATATAAACACCCTCCTACGGATACTAAATCCAACATATAACTTGATAACAAGATACTTCAGGGGTAGCAACATGCCCCAAGGCAACAAAGTGACTCCAGGTATTGGAAATGATATTCTGATTATAATAAGCATTTCACTTTTTAACAGAAAACGTGGTAGGAATAATTATTTATAACCGATTTCCTGCAAGCAAACAGGGCTAAGTACTAATGTCCCACAGAGCTGGCATCCCATTTCCCATGTAATGTTCTTTGTAACACCGTGGAAAAAAAAAAAAAAAACAATGCTCAGACTCCACAGCAACAGCACAAACTATCAATACTAACCAGTCATTAATTCAAAATGAAAAATAAGATAAAGAGAGTAAAATACTTTTTTTTTTTTTTAGGGAATAAAAATCACATTTAATTCTGAAAGCTTGTTTTCATTGTAGTAGTTCTGTTCCATTTCATTTAAAATAATATATTCCTTACTTCATTAGAGAAGACAAATCTTGAAGCTCAGTCTAAAACAAACAAACCACACATAATAATAATAAAGAATTACTAGAGTCCTCATCCTATTTGTAAGGTCACTTCAGTTCATAAGATGCCAGCTGTAAATGCCTTTGATTTAAAAAGTGCAATCAGTGAGAATCTCATTCATCTTCATTTTCCATAAATCCATATCTAAAAAAAACAACATTAAACAACTAACAACTGGACCAGAAAGTCATCACCAAGTTTCAACTTTTGTTTTACTTTGAATTTGATTGATATATTTAGTTATCACAGTACTCCAGAGATCACTTTCAAAGCTCAGAGCACAGTAACTCCCAATACAAACAACAGAAAACTCAGTTCACTTCAAATCAAGAACACTAGGACCTGATAGAGGCCAGATTTTGAAAATCTTACCTATAACACATAAAACATGTTTGTTAATGAGTAAGATAGGACAAGCAATGCAACACAATTACCACAACACTAATGACTTTTTTTTTTGGTAAGTTGAACAAGAAATGGTTTTCCATGTCTGGGATTTTCTTTAGTCTTCTTCATTTCCCAATCTCCTCTGATATCTTTTGGCAAACTTCAACCAGACTTAACAAGAGAACAGACTCAAATGATTACGTTCCTAAAATCAGAGTAAAGCAATGAAGAGGGATCATATCAATGCTGCCACACTGAGGAAAGGCTTCTCTTATTTCAACCCCAAATAAACACCAGAAAATATACAGAGTAAAAGACATTCTGATTACCTGAGCCACACAAACAGCTCTGAGAACAAAAGTAAATCATAGGACATAAATCTATCAGAAATGCAGTTTCAGACTATTGCTGCTCATAGACATAATTAAATTAAATCAGTTCTGCATTTTTTTTTTTGTCTTAATTTTTTCTTAATCTAACCAATGACAATCAATCTCACATTAAAGGAACATTAAGGTACTACACTTACATTCTGTGCAAGATAATCTGTAATCATAAAAGGTAGCATTTTAATAGCTGTAGGAAACAATTTTCATCATAATTTCCTAAAACATGAACACATCAGTCTTTCATATGATTCCTTGCAATGGCAGTTCCTGCTTATAAGTATTGCATCCTTTATGGGTGCATTCATTCCACAGCACCCCTCACAAAAAAAGCTAGCATGCATACAAAGTATGACAGCCATGTTCATAACATGAGCTTCAGCCCTTGTGAAATGGCACATTCTAACAAAACCATTATTACTCTTGCTCAGAGAAGACAAAGAGCTGAGAGTAATTTACTAGTGAATCTAAGCTACTAGTTAACAAATAAACCAGCAACAACAAAAGAGGCTACCCTCTGGTGAGAATCCAGGAAAATCTTCTATGATTGATGTTACTGGTAGCTCTTATTGTAAGCGAAGGGACTCTTACAACAGCTGATACAATCTACCTAACTACAATCACAAAATTGTTTTCTTGAGACTTCATATGCCAAACTGAAATGAACAATGCTTCAGGTATACTTAGTGCACTTCATCCTCTCTTAGACTGGCATATGCCATCTTAAAAAGGGGGGAAGAGCAGAAAGAAAAAGCTGTACTAATCTATAAATAGACTAACACAATTCTCACCCCAAAGGGTTTATGTTTCAATAAATTTTGATATTGACTCATTTTCATATGTTAAGGGAATTAAAGATCTGGCAGAAGAAACAGTGAAGAATATTCTATGGTACATTAGTGTTTGTGTCTGTTTGTTTTGTCTGGCTTTTGTGTTGTAAGAGCTGGAAAAAAAATATACAACTCCTATAAAAGTAATATTTACCTAAGACAAAAATATTGCTCTTGTTCTGGTTCACCTACTTCCATTTTTATGTTGCATTTCTGGCCAAGAACACTCTCCAGGAGTTCTTTGATCGTCTGTTCTGAGGAAGATGGAGAAGTAGACTGCAGGGAAGCAATTATTTCAACAACAGACCTTGCAACCACTTTCACAGGCAATGCTGCTGTGGAAGTAGGCTCTTCAGGTTTGCTCTGCTGGAAGTTCTCATATATTTTTGAAGTGTCTAGTCTAGTCACATCTCTTACCTCTTCCAACTGTTCCTGAGCAGACCTCACACTTGGCTGCTTGCTTCCTTTTCTCAGCACTCGTCCCAATTCAACACGTAAATCTTGCTGCTTTAGTTTTGAAATCTCTTTGCTTCTCTTCTTACAGCTTTCGCTGGTTAATTTTCCCTTCCTGGGAATGTTTTCATTTCTCACTAAATCTGCAGAGCTAAACTCATCGCTATCTTTAATCACAGTACCTATTTCTTCAGCTTTATCATTCCTTAAGTTGTAGGGATTCACCTGTAGCATACGCACTCTATCCTTTACTTTACTAACAGCTTTTGTCTTTTCTAACAAGGCCGAGGAGTTACTGGTGTGAAAATTAGATCTGCCATGTCTTGGCTTCTGAGGTAGAATTTTTTTAGCAGTACCTGCAAATGATGCTATCACTGGCAGTTTTACAACGCAACTTTCATGACTACGAGTGGCATTTTCACTGTTAACTTTTTCAGAGCAACTTTGGTTTTTGTCATCACTGTCTTCTCCCAGAGTTCTATTTCTGTGGTTCATTACCCTGTGATCAGAAGCTTGTTTTTTCATTTTTCTTCAGAGGATATCCTTACTTTCAGAGCAATTAATTAATCAGGACTATTTTTATTTATACTCATGGCAGGCTTATGTGAGCTCTTTGACCTTGGAGAGGATAATATTCTTAAACAGTGCAATTGACCTGGTGTTAAATCTTGCACATGCTCACATTTCTAGGAGCAGTAACTATTGCTAATCTGATCTTCAGGCTGCCCCGCTGAGATTCCCTGCACACAGCCTGGTGTCCTGTAAGCACAGCCAGCTCTTCCAGATAACTCAGTTCAAAAAGTGCTCATGTTTTCCAGCAATTCTCTCCTGCAGTACACAGCCTGTAAACTCAAACAGAAATGAGCTTTTATACTTCATACACCAGTGCAGAACCCAAACCTTTTAAGACGACTGCATTTTGCTGAGGTCCCCGTGGATTTCATCAAGACCACCACGGATGCATATAACTAAGCACCAGTGACAGTTAGTACCATCTTACCGAGGGAAACAACTGAACTGTTGCTATCTTTGGGAGCATAAACCAGAAGTCGCACAGAAACTCCCGGCAGAGGAAGAAATGAGGCAGGCTGAAGCTCCGCGCTTACTAAAATAACTACAAAGGCTTTCCACCTACAAAAACAAGTGACCTCAGGCCCCTGCCAGTCTCCCTCCTCCTCCCCCCCCACTGCAGGAAAAGTACCTCCCGCCAGCAGTCGCGACACCTCAAACACATCCAGCAGGCACAGCGCGGCCCCCGACCACTAAGACCCCGCCGCCCGCCTCTCCCCGCCCAGCGCCGCGGACGGGGCCACGCCGCTCCCGTCGCACGGAAGGACGCGCTCCGTAACCAAGCAACCGGGAGGCAAGAGGGCCAGCAGGGGGCGAGCGCCCCCTACCGGAGGGGAGGACACCTGCGTGTGCCACGCAGCAGCGCACATTCCTGCTGTCAGAGGCTCAGCCGGGGCGCAAAAGATAAACCCGGCTGCGTGTGCCTGGTTAACTATCGCCAATAGCTTTGTCAGTTATTAGCAGAATAGGCTCCTTGCAGATCTTACGCAGCATTAATGTGTCTGGAAGTCTGAAACAGCTCTCTTAGGGGAATTGCGGGAATTAAAGGAAAGTGTGAAAAGTACAGGTCTACAAGGTCCCCAAAGGGGCCCTTAGACAGTTCACAGCTCATAAGTAGGGAAAATGGGCTTCACAGAGCCATGGATGTCTTGGGTTGGAGGGGACCTTTAACAATCACCTCAAAGCACTGACTGCTTTTCAGAAGTCCCTGGGCTGTAACACTTCACAAAATGAAGTTTGCAACCAGTGTATGCCTTTTTTGGTGGGTAAAAAATAAAATTTTGGTTTGTTTGTTTGGATCACCAAATACCTCTATGTTAACAAGGGGATGTCACAACTATTGGCACAGATTGGATTGAAATAAGCCATGCAACTGATTAAAAGCCTCCACTGATCTAATGAAAAAAGTGTCTTCCATTGTCCTCTCCTTTGTTTGTGGCTTTCAGCTACAGCTTTTTTCCTTCTTAATTGCATTCCTGGAACCCAAGGGGGTGGCCAATGCACTTCCTGCAGACAACACGCCTTGCACCAGGTTTGGTGACCAAATTTTGGCTTCCTGAGGCAACTAAGGACTTGTTAAAGATTAAAAACTCATTAGCCAGTCACATTAAAAACAAATTAAACATAGATTTTCTTCTTTTTATACGTAGATAACTGATGAAAGCCATGTAACACACCCTAGGAACACTGTCTATTTCGTATTACTTAGCTTCTCCTGCTCTCTAGCAGCAATACCAGAATAGCAGGAGGAGGAGTAGGTGGAATAGAAAGCAGTTGTTCTGTGTGGAAGGATTCCCACTGCCTGTCCAAGCCATTGGAGATGTTCTAAACAGGAATGAAAGTGTTTAGTTCCCTCATTGAAGATAAACCCAATCAGCAGTTTAATGTAGTTCTGAATCGAGAGAGAAGGTCAATTCCAAACTAGTTACATAGCCAGTGAAGCCCCAGCAATTTGGTTTACTGAGAGCTGCTCCTCTCTGCAGGAGTCACAGTGGGACATGGAAGGAAAAGCCCTGCATGTGAAGAGGTATTTGCATCAGGAAGTTCCAGTAAGGAGCTGCTGAATGGCAAGAAGTATTTGCATCAAAAGAAATGTTAGGAAGGAGGAAAAAATCCTTAGGCATGGATTTCTTCTTTAGGTTAATAGCTGTGGTAAAGTGGTGGTGTCCAGCTGGAAAATGAGTCTGCTGTATTATCTTACTGTGTCTGCTATTCATCAGCTCTGCTCATAGTAAAGCGTGGACTGGCTACAGGAGGATGCAGTTAAGTTGCATGAAAGGCTCAAGCAGTAGTTCAAAAATGTTTCCTGTGCTACAGCATTGAGGTTCTCAGTTTTGTAGCAAAGGGATTAGCACCCAAGGGTGGCTGATGACAAGTTATATCTAAAATGTGATGTATTTCACCTACTAAGCCCCACATGTTTCTTAGCATTCAACCCTGGAGTAAGTATATCCTCTAGACCCTCAGCTTGAGCTCTGGAGATGACAATGGGCCCCACTACAGAGGAATTCATGGAAATCTTTCTCCCATTTCCCCAGGTATTATTAGTTTTCTCCTTTCATAACCACAGTGCCACTTGAGGCCATCAGTTTCTCTTTTTTTTTTTTTTTTTTATTAAGTATTTATTTAAACAGGTTAAGCCTCATCTATGTATCATGCAAAGTCCAAAATTTAATGAGCAGATGCATCCTTATACTGAGCAAATGGATCTAGCTTTGGAAAACTTTGTGCAATTTTATTCCCTTGGTACACATTATTATTATTTATTTCAATTAGGCCTTACCAGATCACTAAGCTTTCTAATATCACATACATTTTGCCATCTAGGTTGTTCATCCATAAATGTTACAGGGAAGGTTTGGTTTTTTTGATGTTTTTTGTTTGTTTGTTTGTTTGTTTTTTCTAGGAAGAAAAGCAGTTATTAAAAATTGTTTTTGTTGGTTGGAAAAAGGTCAGAAAGTGCAGCTTCTTTTCTCATTTATCATCTGAGTCCACACCTTGGTGCCCATATTTGCCATGATACAATTTCAAGCTGGAGTGAGACACTGATGGCATCGTCCCCCAGGCTTTGGAAGGACGCAAACATGAAATCAGGAGTAAGCACTGTGCTCTCTGGAAGCCATCTTGATCTAGGCAGTTGTGAATCAGGGCAGCAGAAAGCACATGAAATATGCACAGCCTGGCATGTGCTGCCCTGCAATGCCAGAAAGAGTTCCTGTGAAGCTAAAGAGCAATCACTTAAAGGAAAGGCAAGTAAGGGCAGAACTACATTGTCAGTTCTGTGGCTTACACCCAGATAGCCACTAGAGGCTGAGCCTCACCTTAGCATCCAGCTGCAGCTGGCTGTGAAAACCTTTTCACCTGAAAACGTATAAATCCTCAGCAGGTCTGCTGAGTGCTCTTGATCTCCCTTTGGTACAACCAAAGCATGCCCTGCTTCAAAATAGGACTCACTCATTCAAGGCTGTTTATCAGTGTCCAGTATACCATTTCAGAGACCAGGAACTAGAACATGTAGAATTTGAATGACTTTCCAAAGTTCCCTTGTAGAACAGGTGGCTGAGCCATAACTGAGTCTGCGTTTCTGATTTGCAGTAACTGGTAAATCAAAGATACGTATCCTCAGATTATGGGTTATGCTTGCTCTTTAAGGGCATTAACATCTTTGTTTTAATGTTTCCGACACATATATGTATAAAATGGCCATAAATACTCAGAGAAAATCAAATGATAATCAGCTAAAATGCCGATCAGTGAAGTATTGCCACTGTGGACACAGAACGAACTTTTCTGAAAATTACACTGTGGGAACAATAATCTGCAGCAGAACAATGGAGTAAACAGGTAGGTGGCAAATAATCTCTTAGATCATACAGTGTCAATACTGAAAAGGCTTTTGATTAGTTGCAAGAGTTTGATCCAGCTGAGCTGAAGAAAACACCTTTTTTTTTCCAGTGATCAATCCATGCTGAATCCCTTGAGCAGTAAGCACAAGCACAGAAAGGTTTTGCAGAATTAGTATTATAAATCATACATTCAATCCCTCTGTGAGTGTTGAAAGCATCGTCATGCTTCTAATCACTATATCCTCTCTTTGACGCATTACAAATACTCACACCCAGCCCCTACTAATCTCCATTGTGATTGTGTGATATCTGTACTTGCTGGTACTAAGCCAGAAGAAGTAGTTAAATTTTTTCTTCCTCCTATGATTTTGAGCTTTGTTTCCCCCACACAATTGAAAGACTTTATTTAAATAATGATGTTTCCCTTATAATTCAAAATAAAATGCAATAAGAAGATGGAAACAAGATGGACCCTTTTCATTTTCAACTATGCTTGAAATGATAAAATCAGGTCATCCTGAGTGATCATGAATCCCAGGTTTATTTTTTGGTAAGATGATACTGTAATATTTTCAGTTATGTGCCATTTTATTATAGAGCCCAAGAGAAATTACATGAGTTTCTTCTAGCAGCCCATCACTCACAGCCTTTATTATAGGCACAAGGTCAGAGGCACTCCTGGCTTTAAAAAGGGCTGTAAGCAATAAACGGAGAAATTACAGCAAAGCACCTGCCAAAGTCTTTGTAGGGTTCAGCCCTCTACTTGCTTTAGTTCTAAAATTTGATCATATTATCTCTGTTCTCCACTGTCTTTCAGTTAATACTAGAAAACAGCAGGTTTTCCAGTCCCCCATTCCTGTCCAACTCCTCTTTTCTCTTAGGACAGCAGCTTGACTGTGGATATATAGAAAGATACATGTCTGTGTGTTTGTAGATCTCGTAGGTTTCACAGCTGGAGTGTCAGCACTGGGGAACATAGAAATCCCATTTAATCACAAGAAAAATTTTCACATCTGCTCAGTTTCTTCAGCAAAAGGACATGTCCTGTAAGGGGTGAAAAGAGAGATCTGCAGAGGCAGAAATTTCTGTTGTGTCTAAAGGAAAGGTTAAAAAAGAACACAGAGTGAGTAGTGAACAGAATATTCCTTGGTATTGATCCTGAAAAAAAAGGCAAAAGACTGTATGTTCAACAGATAACAGGAAAGCCACCTTCATCTAGCAATGAAATTGATGGGCTGGAAGACTAAGTTTCTCTTTGGAGGAGATGAAGGAAAGCAGTGCTGGATTCTCTCCCAGTCATCTCACCTTAAGTCACTACCTAAAAAGGAGTAACCCTGAAACCACATGAACTTCAGGAATATTCAGATACCTGCCTCATTGCCTGGGGAAGGGTGGAGGAGGAATGAATTGCATCTGCCCAACCTGGCTCTCCTTGTCTCGCCAGTAGTTGCACAGAGAGCAGAGTCTGTGTGGAGGCAGAAGGGAAGGCATGTGGTGAGCAAAGTGACCTTCCTGTTGCCATTCCTTTCAATCTGCTCAGCAGGGAGATTCACCCCCGAAATGCCTGAAGCAGCAGCTGAAGCTCAGACCGACTGCTGGGTGAGCCAGCCACTCTCCAAAATGCTGAACAACCGCTGCCCCTGAGGAGTCCCAAAATGCTCCTGAATCCAGATCACCCTCTACTTTCCCACAGAAGTGAGTTGACTGTCTTATTTTACAAGTCTTGCTTTTGATTTCAGGCTGTTTCCAGTCTCACTTTCAATGTACAATGTACAACTATGGGACATTGTTACATAGGGCCTCTGTGCATCCTTTTCCAGGATATCATGCATGTCCCATGATGGAGAAAATGGCCAAAGTGTTTCTGTATGCATGTGATCACACACTGCCACATATCCCACAGTTTCTGGGTGTCCTTGTTAATGCAGCTCAAAAAAAGTGCAGTTAATACAGATAGAATTAATTTGTGTTCTAAGAAGTGCAAGCCAAGTAACACTGCAGAACTGCTCCCTGGGGAGGACTTTAAGTAAGCCAGCCTTGATTTTATACATTTGATTCTTCAGAGCTGAAGGCAGTCAAGGAAGCTATTTAGTGGATACTGCTCTCTATCTTCTGTAAAACTGCTGTAGACACAGAGAAGGGAAAACAATCTTTTATTTCATGTATTTATTTTTAGGTAAGGAAAACGAGGAGAAAAAAAATAAAAATGTGGTGCTAAATCCAAGTTGCCAATTCAATCTTCTGCATAGGGAGGTCAGTTCACAGAAGAACTGATGTGTTTCTGTTGACATGAATATCCCAAGTCGCTGATCAGCTCTGCATCAGTTGACCAGTACAGCAATATTTGGCTTATATCAGGGAAACAGATATTCTCCCAGAGAACTCATTGCAGTGTTTGAAGATTCATGGGGTATGAAAATACTTTTTGTTCAATCAGCAGATAATATTGGAAAAGCTGGACAGACAGTGGTCCACAAAGTCTCTCTCTCAGCTCTAGGTTCTACACAAAAGTGTGTCTCCTCCCAAGGTTTGTTTCTGATACTGGTTTATGTAGATTAACTGCGCAGACTTCAATTTCTTTATTCCTTATATGTGCGTTGCAGAAGTCTGTGTATGTTTTATTTTAGAAAATTATTTTAAAATTTCATTTTTCTATTCAGGTGAAACTCTACAAACTGGGTGCCACTGAAGTATATTTGTGTGTAGTCCCATCTCCTCTGGTACTGCTTCTTCTGTGCTGTATTACTGCAGTTACTGTGAAACAAAACACAGTTTTTTAAAAATTTGCAAACCAAACTTTCAAAAAGGGACAGTGGCTGCATCAGAATTGGCACACCGATTGAAATAAGCATCAGAAGCATTGCCACTCATGTTTCAGGAAATATAACATAAATAATACACCCACTAATTGAAATGCATACAATATAGCTGTTCTTGATTCAAGTGAGAAGCGTGAAATGCATTTATTTTATGAAGAGTAAAACAGACTTTGCCAACAACACACAGCAGGGTGGGCATCCTGCTGGCTCGAGTTCTGCAAGCCCACAGCCAGCCCTATTACTAAAAATGAAGTGACTGAATACACCGGGGCATGATTTACCTGCTTAAGAACTATATTGTTGCACTGAAGAAAAAGTAAACCAAACCCAGGGGCTTCCTTACTCTGATTTCTGTGGCCGTCGGACAGTAGGTTATATGTAGCTTTTCATTTCGTTATTTGTGCCTCTTTCTCTCTTAATCGGGCTGTGATATGTGAGGGTTTTCGGGTATAGGCAACGTATTTTTTTCTGTGTCAGGAGCGTAGCAAGTCGCTACCTGTGTGCTGAACGATGCCTGAAAAAAAGAAATGTAATGAATTATAAGGAAATGTAAAGAAAAATAAAAAGAGAGAGAAATTGAAAGAAATGAAATAAATTGAAACAGAGTAATAAAATAATAGATAACAAAGATAAATAAAATGAAATAAAACAAAACCCGGCAGTGTCAAGTCGCTGCTGCAAAGTCCTCGGGGCCTCATGGAAGGCTACGTGCTCCATGCATGAGACCCCGGGCGGCCCCGGTACGAGTGGGAGCTCCGTGCCGGCGGGGTTGTGGCCGGAGGGCGGCCCCGCGGCTCAGGGAGGACGAAGAAGGGGAGGCAGAGCCCGGCAGGAGCTGCACGGTGCGTCTCTCGGTGCGGGGCTGCCCCCGGCCGCCGCTGACAGCGTCCCGGGGCTTCCACCCGGCTGCGGGTACCGGCGCGGCTCGCACGCGATTCCTGGGTTCAGTTTAACGTGGGGGTCAGAAACGGGTGGAATGGGAGTTTCCTACCGCCGGGAGGGATGGTTGGGCAGGAGTCAGAGCCGGGGAAATGGAAAGGCGGCCGGACAGCGATGAACAGGGAAGGCATTCTGATGCAGTCTCGCGGTTCCTTCCCGAGGTTGAAACCTGCCCCGCACGGACGCTGCCGAGAGGTTCCCGTCCACTGGAAATAATCAAACAAGACCCTACAAGTTGACCCGAACAGCTGCCTCTTCCAGAGGAAAAGGAGCTCTTACGCAGGAGCGGATTGAAGTAGCGCTGTCCCATCCGCCCCTTGAAGTCAAAATGATCGCTCTCGCCTATTCCATCTCCCATCCCACGAGAGGGTCGGTGCCCGAGCAGCGCGGGGCCGGGGCTCCCGGTTTGTGCGGAGTTCCCGCGCGGTGCCGGCCCTGGTGCCATCCCACGGGCGAAAAAAAAGATGTAGCAGGTACAGCTTGATGAGAAACCGGCAAAACGGCACTGCTCTAACGAGATTCGGGAAAAGGCTCTGGGGCCGGGATTACCGTTCTGGTAATGGCAGAAGTCTTTCTATGTCCTCCATCCCCGCAGAGCCCTGCTCTCCCCTCCCCTCGGGGGATGCGGAAGGACACGGTCCCGTCGCTTCGGTTTCCCCGCGCATCCCTCACAGCGTTGAGCCCCGGCCCGACGGGAAGCACCGCACCGCCGCGCTCCGCCGCTGCGCACACGGGAGGCTTCCGGCCGCCGGGGCTGGAGGGGGATTTCCAGGAGCGGCTGTCAGCGCCTGATCCATCTGTGCAACGAGCTGAAACGCTCTCTTCTAAGAAGATAACAGACCGCCTGCCCGAATCTCACCTTCAGGGGCAACGTTAGGAGCAGGAAGCCGCGGCCGGACAACAGGAGGCGCTGCGGCTTTGCACAACCCCGGCTTCCGCGCACCGCTCGGCACGGCTCAGCACGGCTCAGCACGGCGCTGTCAGCGCGACTCAGCGTGTGCCCCCGCTTAGAGCTACGTGCCGCTCGTGGGGTCCGTGCCTGCTCCCCTCCCGGCACACGGTGAGCCCTGAGCAGGATGCCCGCGTCCCGCCGGGCGTTGCTCCCGCGGGGCCGTACTGGGAAGCGGCAGCACCACCCCGAGGTCACCCTATGGCGGGCAGCGGGCTGCCGGAGCCCTCCCTCCCTTTGGGAGGCTTTTAACGGAGCCGGAGCACTGGGCTGAGCGAGCCCGGTACCGAAGGGTCTCTGTGTTCAGATTGTTTCCACTAGGGAAAGAGAGAGGGTGCATACATAAAGACCGCAATTTGAGTATCTGTCAGATTTTCCTCTGGGTTTTGATCCAATTTCCATTTGTGTAGTTTGACCACTTGAGAGGAGAAGTTTAACTCAATGCTTTTATCTTTTTAATTTTGTTTCCTTTAAGACACATTCTCATCCCTTTTTTTTTCTCGCTGGATTATTCCAGGTTTGCGTCTGTTTCAGGGATTTGACTTAATTCTGTTCCCAGATTTAAAGAAAAAAAAAAAA